TGATACATACCAACCCTCTGGCTAAATACGATAGAGTGGAAAAGAAAACGTGCTTCTTATATGTGGGTACTGACCTCACGCCTAACCCTCCTTCTTTATGTATGTTTGTGACAGGCAGTAGCCCTACAAGAGCTACGGGCAGAGTTGCCTTAATTCGATTTGACCAATAGTTCGCCTCTGTATTTACTCGCTCGCACACATCGGCCTCTATGCTTCAAATTCTTTTGATGTCTTTGTAACTGTTTTCTGTACTATCCGCTATAGTCGCCGCTTCTTATTGCCTTCTGAATTCAAACACCGTTGGGGATCTATGTAATAACGGTTATCAAATTGATTAACGAAGCTAATCTACTAAAATAGTTGTTAACGCTAATGACGATAACGCTATCTTTCTCATGACTATAATTTTGCTGTTTTTATTTGCAATGAAGCTAAGTATCATGAACAGTTTACGGCACTATGATTTACAGTATACTATTTCTTCAAAATAAGTAAACAAATCACCGAATTATCACAAGTTTAAATAGGATAAATAAGTAACGTAGTTCAGTGAGAGTAAGTTTGATTGCGTAGCAGTCATGTGAATTGTTTTGGTCGAGGGACTTCTCAATGCGGAATCATTGTGTATATTTGTGTGTATGATACTGGTTCTGAAAAATGTGCAATTTGTAGTATGAGGTAGTAGAAGCGGCTTACACTAAGTCCTCAAACATCAACAATTCAAATTCCTACTCGTTGAGATGTCACACATATATATCATTATTTTATTGTTAACTGTTTATCCAACGCTCATTCTATTTGAAAGTCTCAAGCTGAACCTTTATACTGATACCTAAAATGTTTCTACTGTTCTAAGTACTTTGGAAATAAGGAGATCTTTGTAAATGTGGATGGATACTACTGATGGGGAGACTTAGGAAATCCCTCGAAAAAAGCCCAAGGGACCCTGAAAACGCTTGGAAACATCTTATCTAATCAGCATTGGATAAAAATTTCTCGGAAGCATCTGGAACGTAAATAGTCTCGTGTCACATTTCTGATTGAATGATTACGTATTCTGTTACCATGTTTAGTATGGTTCCAGAAATTTCCAGAAGCCCAAGGTGATCTGAAATACTATGAACCTTGGAGTAAAGCGTTCTTTCCATATTGCACTCTTTTCCTCTCGTATTTTGGTTGTTTTGTAGTGTAAGCCTGTGTGGTGTTTGAATGAACTAATGATACCTTTGTACTTGTTGAATGCTCGATTTCGAATTCCAAATACAATACATTCGTTTGTGCTTGTGTCTTACTTCTTAATTCAATTGCGTTATTTCTGGGACTCCTAGTTCATACTACAATTCAAATATTATAGCCTGGTATTATTAGAAGAGCTAAGGAAACCGATTCAAGTGTTCAGTCAAAATATATGTCGACTACTAACAACCTTTCAATCAACGTTTAGTTTAGTCAAATAATTCAACTTCATTAATTGTTGAAAACAAAATGGAACTCTTAACTCAATTCCTCTCGTATCCTAACTAAACATATATTTTTACTGTGTAAAACATTTCAATTTCTCAAGAAAACTATGAACCATTACAAATATCTATGGAATCTTCATACTTGATATTGCAGTAAAGTATCTTTTGTTCCAATTCACTTGGAGTTTAAAATAGTTTCTCTCTCCTATTGAAATAATGTACTTGTAGTTTTGATCGTTTTAATTTTTTTTCAATTTGAAATGTTTAAACTAAGATTATTGAGCTACTTATAAATTTTGAGTAGGATAAACTGAATCTCAAAAAAGAAGGGTTGGAGTTCATTGAACCTAGGAACTAGTGATGTAAATTAAAAATCAGACAGTGTCCACTTACCTCTTATACTAAAAATAATCGTGTGACTTGAAGATGAAATATTAGGATTTCAGTTGAGAAGCTGTAATAGATGGATCACAAGGATAAATAAGGGGATGAGAAAGGAATCCACAAAGGCCACACAATATCGCGAATTCACTGGTGTTAAAAATGAAAACCGCTTATTCAGTGATTTTAAATTTAGGGATTCACTACCGAACGTGATGACCATGATTGTGAAAGCTTATTTATTATTGGATTCGTAAAAAATGAGAACCATACATTAAATAAATTATTTGCACATCTTCCTTCAGTTGCCCCTTACAAGTTTCATGGTTCTTCCAATTCTGTTATTACAACTGCTTTCTATTACCCTTCTTGTTCTCTTGAATTCAATCTTATGATGGTAGGAATTCTACTTCCGATTGGTGCTACTTACTGCTGATATCTATCAGCAAAAGTAGCACACACCACAGAATCAGTTCACAATGTAACACTTCTAATTCAGTCATCTCCTATGCTAACTGGGCAGAATTATTCAAATAATTACAATTGGTTTGAAAGTCTCACAATCTCAATATTTTTATGGTTTTGTTATTCTTAACAAGTAGTATAACCATTTTACGACTTACCTATTGCTACATGTGATATTTAGTTATTTCAACGAACTAATTATTTTATCTGTTTATGCGTTCATTTCAATATCTCGGCTAATTCTTCTATTTAGAATTGTCCTTTTTTTCAGTACACACTACTATTTAGAATCATATTTAACTCAAACTATTTCACTACCTCAGAGATGCAGCGCTAAAATTAATCTCGTTGTTTGATATTTGTGTTAATTATAAAAGTGTGTTGTCTTTGATTTATAATATTTTTCAATCTATCTATATTTATGATATGCTTTAAGTGTTTTTGAAAGTAAAGTAGACATTTAGACACAGAACCTTTCGCTTGACTTGTTAGTTCTCAGTGTTTATTTAATTTTCTACTACGGCGTTGTACTGCTGAGCAAGTCAAGTATATAGGCTAAGCACTAGCAGTCTACTTACTGCAAAAAGAAGACAAGAATGAATACTAACGAAAGTAATGATACATCTAGAACCAAACTCTCACCTTTTTCATTATTTCTAACTTTTGATATAACGTGGCACCAGCACATCAAGTTGTTGATCAATAATTTATTCATCCTGGTAGATACAGACTATTTAGTTGACTTCGCTATAACAGAAGTTAGTGTTGGGTGATTTGGCTTGCAATCGGTCACAATGGGGCAGATGTATTTACTCTTTATCTTACCCTACACTTTAGGTTTCGGTATTCTCTGGATACATATCTCATTCTGTTCTCATAAATCATATACTTCTCGATTATTACTGCTATCAAAATGATTTGAACCTCTTGCTATTTATTTTATTATTTTCATTTTGTTGTAATAGTATGAAAAATTGAAAAAATCCATGTTTATGCAAAGTTCTACGTTGATTATGACTAATTGATAACTTGTTGCATATTTTCACTCTTCTACTACTAATTATTTACAACTGATTGACCACTGAGTAGTGACCAATGAGATGTATGTCAAGTTCTTCTTGATCTGAATCTAATTCTATCGATCAAGTTACAATGTGATCATTAGTCTAAGTGATTCGACATCATGTGCACTGCGTTGAGATGTAAGGTGGTGTCTAGAGGTAGTCGACAGGAAATCCTGGGCCTAGGTTTTGTATTATTTCGCACTCATCAGTAAGGTGTACCTGTAATCTTGAGGGAAATGATACTACCTGTAGGATTGATCACTGAGTTGTGAACAATGTCATGTATATCAGGTGCTTACTTCTGACTGTGAAGCTGGGTGACAAGTGGTCGAATCCGACAGGGAGTATCATTTCCTTCAAGATCACAGGTACACCTTGCTGACGAGTGAGAAATAACACAAAAGTTCAGGGTTTCCTGTCGATTACCTCCTAACACCAACTTAATATTTAACATCATTCACAATCAACTCTACATGAAGTTATAAATGGATCATTTGACAGCCATGTAGTTCTTACAAAATATTTTACTTTTGTTCCTTTCACTATGGCAACGGCTAGACGTTTCCTCAGCTTTTAATTGACTGTCAATTGACAAATAAATGATCAATCATTAAGTAGTGACCAAGATCATATTTATCTAGCCGTTTAGCAGTAAGTGAATTCTATCAAATAAGTGGTAATGACGACATTAGTCTATGTGAATCGACATTACGTATATTGTAACAAGACATCAGCTAGTTGGTAACATCATAAACTGTGGAGCTAAGTGGCACAAGTTCGAACCCCATGAGGAGCATCAATTCCCTGAAGATCGCACGTACGCCTTGTTGACGAGTGTCAACTAGTGAAAAACCCACGCACACAGTTTCTTGCAAATTACCGTCAATCAACTAACATTAGAAATGTTTAATTGTGTTAGCATCAACGGGATTCTATCGAGCAAGCTTGAATGTAACTGCGCAAAGAAACTAACTGGTATTTAATACTGGATGATCGATGGATGGACATGAAAAATTCAGATTAGAATTTGGGAGAACACAAAGAGTGGATGCAGCTCCACTATTGCAAATGATTTTCAGCCATGTCATTCAACGTCTCTAACCATCCGTTGCTATCATATCGCGGATCCCAACCACGCAGTTTACACCTATCAACATGACTCACTCCACTTATCAGTGATTTCATGGATTTGTGCCACGTTTTGGTCTGACCACCCCTAGTTTTCCCCGACCTACTCCTAGTCCTACACCACAAAACATAGCACGTCGGGACAGTCGGTGGTTCGGCATATGTAACACGTGTCCAAGCCATCTCAACTGATGAAGTTGCACTACTTCATTAATCGGTTTGCCATCCTTACCCAGTACCCGATTTCTAACAACTGCATTACATACTCCGAGGTCCCAGGATATACGAGCAATTTTTTCAAGACACCTATGATCAAATACTAGTAACCTACGAATATCCTCTACTCTTACCGGCTATGTTTCACTGCCATAAAGAAGGACGGAACGAACTGATGCGCAGTACACTCGTCCTTTGGTCGGTAGACGGATATCTAGCCTACACTATAAATGACACAAGTTGGAAGTGAAAGCGATTATTCTTTAATACAACTTTCAAACCTAGTTTAGTTACCATTATCAGGACGTATTGGAAAAAAAATCTGAGGAACTACAGATTTGTTTTAAAACTTAAACTAGAATTGTTGAATATGACTGGAGATGATGATGTTATATCTCTATATAAGTTAACAAATACATAACTCAATAAATAAGCAATTGTTCTATCCAAAAATCAAATTTATCAAAATATTGAAGAAAACCTCTCTTTTGGTTACATTTTTGTTTTGTTTACAAATCATAAAAAATATTATGTGAAATTATTTATTATTAAGATTAACCTTATTATTTTCATCAGCGTGAACTTTTCCATCGGGTATGCCTAACACATGTAGACAAACTAATACAGCTGCTTGTTCAGCATACTTTTTTGATTTACATCTGTTAAAAGAAAGAAAGTATTTTATTAAGATAGAATAAATAAACAATTACAATAAACTGAACATAGAAACTTCGGTTTATACAATATACGGTTAACAGTGGAATTTAGAAAGTGTGTTTTGGACTAAGTGAAACTCATTAGTTGAATGTACGCCTGCTTTAATGTTGATGTTTACACACTGGGAATAAAATCAACACCTTTCTCTTTACTATGAACATCATCATTAAGATGTTGGTATATAAACTGACGAGTCCCTAGTAGTTCGATATGTGTGTTCTGAATTTTGCTGCTTTGAGTTATATTACAAAAAGGTATTTAATTACCGAGTGCAATCGAAAAATGGAACAATCCACATTCGATTTTGACCAGAAGTTAGTAAATTTTGAGAATGACGCCTTGCATGAATGACATATTATCGTCATCGCTTATACTATGAATTTATTTACAGAAGTTATACAACATAGTGACTTTTGCAATTGCGGAATTGAAAGGAAAGAGATCAATAAATGAAATTTAAGACTTTTAAAGACATTGTTATAGGTCGCTAGCTAATTTAAACAACTAATCAGTTGATTAGCATAAAGAGCATATAACATGGTATGAATATGCATTAGACTAAGTTGCCATAACTTATAGAAGTACAGAAAGATGAGGAGTAAACGAGACAAATCATTTTCAACTGTGTAAAGGAAATCTAGACATCTAAAGATTCTAAGTTCTAAAAGAACAAATGAGATCAAAGAATGAAGGGTTATAAATGACATTTAAATAGAGATTTAAATGAAGATAAAAAATGAATGAATACAACTGGGACACAGTGACACAATTTAGACTATACAACAGAAAGCTTTAAAATATACGTTACGATCATTAAGAAAAATACAAACAAAAGACTGTTGTGGATGCGGAGGAATAGACCAATAATTATCATGTTAAGTCCAATGGTGTTCTTGGACATTAAATGAACATTTCCTATTGGTCGATATCTGTTCACTTGTTGAATATTGTACAAAATGTTGTTTTCTATTTTATGGTACGATGTGGTATGCTTGGTTAGTATATAAATAGAGTATGTTTGAAATATAATGATTCATATCTCCGAGGCTGTGGCTTGTGTTCTGGACTCAACTGACTGGGCTAGACAGGGAAGCGAGACCAATCGAGACTCTAGGCCGTCCGTTCGTGTTTACGTGTCACTGTAATCGATTGATAAGTACACTGCTCTCTAATTTTCCAGTCAAGGACACAACAATTAGCACAGGGTAAAAATCGACCCAACTTAAAGTCATAACAAAGACTTTACAACATTTATCGAAGTGGCTTAGATCAACATTCAAAGGACTTATGTTTCAAATAATTGAGTAGACTATCACAACATATTACAACAACCAGTTGAATATTTTCAACAAAAACCGCGAAACCCCATAAACTGTAAGATCAAAAGTGTAGTAGTTTACCATTTTACAGATAAACTGTCATATGATTATGCAACTTGATTCGGTCATTTAAACGAAAGAGATCCATACAAGAAATATGGATAGATAACAACATTATACATACTAATTACTACATATTACTTACGCGCTGGTATTTCGATAACGTTTACCATTCACTAAAACAGTACTGAAAAATGATCTTTTGTTACGATCTTCAATCTACAAATTTTACAGAGACAAACACACATTTGGAATGACAATAACAGATAATTTTAGCGATTATTATAACATACAATAATTTTATAAAAACGGTATGACTTCTCGTATCTTTCAAATGACTAATAATCGTGGTAATGTCAGTCAGTCAGTCAGCTACAACGTAGGACCAGGCACATATGTGCATCGGTCCAGGTTGCCATACCGCATCAGCACAACAAGATGAACACCGGATTCATAGCAGTGGTTAAGTCAAAGGTAGTAATATATAAGAGAAAGATTGCATATAGAGATATAGTACAAGAAGAATTTGTTCGTAGAAAGAAAGATATGAAGTGATTTTAATCTCTTAGTTTAAGGGAAGACAGGGAGTGTATACACCGACGCCATTGTGATAGATTCTGAGCCATGTCACCAACAGTCTCCAACCATTGGTTACGATAGTCACGCGGACCCCAACCAAGTAGTCTGCATCTACCAACATGGCTCAGACCAGAAGTTAGTGACTTCAAGCACTGATGCCACGTTTTTGTTTGGCCGCCCCTAAATTTCTTCCAACCATGTTCAACATCGGTTAGCATTGCACGTCGTGGTAATCGGTGTTCAGGCATACGTAACACGTGGCCCAACCATCTCAGTCGATGAAGATTCATAACCTCATCAACTGATTTACCATCATTCCCTAATACCCTGCGTCTAACGTCCCTATTACTTACCCGGTGATCCCAGCAGACGCCAGCAATATTTCTAAGGCATCTGTGGTCAAATACTAATAGCTTACGAGTGTCTTCTACTCTTAATGGCCATGTTTCGCTGCAGTAAATTAAAACAGAACGGACTGCCGCGCAGTATACTCGTCCTTTTATTGATAGACGGATATCTCGCCTTCGCCATAGGTGACGCAAGTTGGCAAAAGCCAATCGAGCTTTCCGAATCCGTGCTGAGATTTCGTCCGATACCAACCCATTAGGGCTGATCAGACTTCCAAGATAAGTGAAGTTGTCAACGCGTTCGACTACTTCACTCCCTATCCTTAGTTCGAGAGTTGACGAAGACCAGTCCTGAAGCAACAACTTGCATTTAGAGGGTAATGTAATTCGATGTAAATCTAATGTAGAGTTAATTTCATTGGGTATAAAGTGGTTTATGTGTAAAAATGTGTTTCATTTTATTGTTAATACTCCCAGTCAATCAGATACAACGTAGGACTAGGCACATATATGCATCGGTCCAAGTTGCCACACCTTATTAGCACAACAAGATGAACATCAAATTCATAGTAGTTACTTCAATGGTAGTAATATATATAAAAGATTGCATATAAGGATATGATACAGGGAGAATGAATTAGTTCGTAGAAAGAAAGGTATAGAGTAGTTTTAATCTCACAGTTTAAGGGAAGACGGAGAGTGTATACACCGACGCCATTGTGATCGATTCTGAAACATGTCACACAGAGTTTCCAACCATTGGTTACGATAGTCATGCAGACCCCAACCAAGTAGTCTGCATCTACCAACATGTCTCAGATAGGAAGTTAGTGACTTTACGGACTGATGCTACGTTTTGGCTTGGCCACCTCTAACTTTTTTCCAACCGTCTCCAACACTAGTCAGCATAGCTCAGTATACTACGGGATGAGTTTGAATGGGTGAAAATAAGGTTCTATTACTAAGAGAGTAACTAAAAACACTTCTAGCTACTAATGGTAAGGTAAGAGTCTGTAGCACAAACTAACCACCAACACTATTAAAGTGTACAGACGTGAATTTGTTTGAAGGTAATTTGCATGATAGTGACATGAAGGGAAGAAGTTCGTGGTCATCCGTTGATTTTTAGACCGTTATTCTAATCTATGCTAATAATTCCTTGCTGTTCAACAAGTCAGTAATAAATATATTTCTTGCTATATCTCAATGAGTACAAAAATGACATTTTTAACGTTTCGTGACTTAATGTAAAATAATTCTTTAAAGGAAATAAATCTTATTATTAACTTTCTACTCAATACTCATTTTATTTGAAACCATCAAATCCAGTGATACCTACAAACTCATTGTTTAAGTCGTTATGAATTCAGACTTCTTTATTGCAAGCTTAACCGGCTCACTTGATAATAGAACCTGCTAATTATAAGTTCGCTCACGTTAATCAGAACAAAGACCTTCTTTTTAATCAATGACACAAATGACTATGAATCCTAACTCTTCATATTTTGCAAAGCTCCTTCTTTCTATTCCTTAGTGTCCAATCAAAAGGCGAATACAGGAAGATTTGTCTTCTTTTAGTGCATCATTATCCTGATTTGAATTAGCTTGATTTAATGTTTTGCGTGTAAATGAAAGCTTTAGTAATCAGTAAGGTGTCTGGTATGAAAAATATAACAGAGATTAAAGTAAACAAGAGAAAAATCACTATTATACTTAGTATACAAGCTCATTTTAAGAGTATTAAAATAAGATATAATTAAAACTATAAATAATATCAAAATGTCTCAGTGTTACCATTGACAAGCTCTACTCCAAAAGTATACAAACTGAGTAATTAAAGTTTCTGGTGAAACTCGGTGAAAAACTGTCAAGACTGCAAGGATGATCCAAGATCAAAATGAATGTTGACCACTAGTGTTGATGAAAACGTTGAACGTGTACCATCTTGAGTGCTTTTCGGCTACAGACTAACTGTTTACATAATTACTGATAAACTGAATTTGTTCAAAAAATTGCGTGAGTATAAGACTTCAGAAAAACATGAAATTTCTGAAAAAAATTCGGATTGTAGAGATAAATAAATTTTAAAATGTATATCTTAGACAATAAGACTTACAGTTTCGTATTTAGGTGAATCCCATTTTAATAATTTACAGTGTTCACGAAGTATTTGTTTTGGACTAGTTCCATGATCAGGCCAAAATCTACGTTCATATGGAATAGAGAGTACAATTTCTTCGAAATTATTTATTTTTATCCCAAGCACATTATTATCATTCACTAATACTGTTGTAGTATTTGATAAATGTTCTTCTACACGAGGTCGTTTCTCTGGAACTGAGAGAGAGTCAGAAGAAACTGATAGTGAAGGAGATGAAATTATTTCTTGATTACAATTAACTGTTGAATTGTTTAATGTAAGTTGATGATTCTTTAAACGTTCTAGTCGATTAGACATTTCATGATCGTAAACATCTAACATATTCCATATGGCACTAGATGAACACAATAGTAATAATAAGTATTTGATTTATTAAGAAAGGGAATAAACGGAATAAAGTATGTACAACAATTTTCGAAATAAATAAATAAGGAAGTAAGCAAATTCACTTAGTCTGTTGCAACGTAGAACGTGATTTGTATGTATATCGGTTCAAGTTGTCATATTCTATTAGTACAGGGGAATAAAATTGTCAAGTTAAATCCAAGAATGGTGGAGGTATTCGCAGTATTAGTGGTAATAGAAAAAATTAGGCATCAAAAATACTAGCCGAAAATAAAATATAATTTAACGAAATAAAAATACGAAAAACGTTATAAGGAATCCAAAATCTGAGAATTTTAGAGGAGACAAAGAATAGATGAGCCTGCGCTACAGCAAACGATTTTCAGGCAAATCATTTAAAGTCTCTAACCATTAGTTACAATAAGTAAATTAGTTTGAGCTTGACACTGAAATCGAGTAGGTTAATGATGTTAGGAATAGAAGTGTACTAGATGAACGATTGATGAATAAATTGTTAGGAATACTTCGAATTATCTAGTTTTTTGAAAACTTCTGTTCATATAAATGATTGTTCTGACGTGTCAGGAAAGCCGTGGTTTTTTTCTTCCTATTTAAACACCTCCGCTAATCTTCGCCGTGGTCTGATAAGTTGTTCTAGCTCTTATTTAGATAATTCTATATTTCAAGGTCATGTCTGTTGTTATGATTGTATGGAAGACTACTAAGCATGAAGTATTGTGGTGCACCATTCACTCAATCTACTTAGTTTGCATAGATCCAATTTCGTACTAGAAGAATCCCCTAATCGTTTGTTACTCAAAATTACCCTAGGCCACAATCAACATAACATTATTTATTTGTAAATTTGCAAGATTTGTAGTAGAACTTCCTTTGAGTAAACTTATTTAACTACTATACAGATTTTTAATAGGATAAAAACTATAGTTTATCTCTAAAATAAAGAAATTGTTAGGGGTAAACGAAAAAAAGGAGGAATATAAAACTTCAACGAATTAATTCATTTTTTATGTTGGTTGTTTGAATCACACGTCAACTCTGGGATGCAGGTACACCCAGCTGACGAGTCCCAAATAGAACGAAACGCATGTCATGGGTTCTATTGCTAGCCACCATCCATTTCTAATTAAATAAATTAGTTCGTCCATTTTTCAATAAGTATTCTTTGATCAAACCGTTGATTTTAAGGTGATATTTTTATATGAAAATATTTATTTACAGTAAGCTATCTTCGAAATCATTATGATTATTATTACATCATTCACCAAGTAGAAATAACAAGCAGCTAACTATAAATAAATAAACTGAATTATCCAATTTTGATGGTAAAAATAGTTTAGTTATTCACTTAATAAAGTCAGTATATTGTCAGACAATAAGGTTAACTATTTCATTCGTTTAATCAAAACAGTATACAGTTACATGGGCAAATAGGACTCATTAGATCGTCTGTTACTTTAACTGGAGGTCTTTACACAAAAATTGAGAATCTGAGTAACATATATTAAGTATCTGAGGATATACTACTTATCAGATTAGTGGTATAAGTAGATAGATTAAGCATCACTAAGCTCCGCACATGCACATACACACAAAAATGTGCCTTAATAGTTACATAGAGATCTGTATATATTTACTTACTGAGTGGTAAATGCATTCCACAACTTGGAAGTTAACATTTTACACGTAGATAATGAAAAAGTCAAGTTAATGAGTTTATGGATAAGTGTTAATATTTGACTTGATTGATCATTATGGGACTTTTTTCACTCTGTTAACTAGTTTGATTACAATCATAGATTGAAAGAGGCGTTAATTAGACATGTTCAAATACAATAAATTAAAATTCTACAGACAATTTCCAAATATGTGCCTGACAAGTTTATAAAGATTGGTTTAATTAATGTGTCGTGCTTTACTGAAAAGTGATTGATGCAAGAAATGTAAACCATCGAATTACGATTTCTTGGTTTAAAAGCGTGACACAGCCTGTAAGAGACTTGAAGGTTTTGAATTTGAGCCCTCAGTTTGAAGCCATCAGTACGTACTGTTGTGTATACTAAGTACAACTTTAAGAAATCTATCCAATTATGAGTTGTAATAAACATATATGTAGATAGATAAACAAAATCTTATGTTAATTAATAAATCTGAACTGAAATCAAATTACAAATACCATAGATCACGTAGTTCATTCGAAGCTAATACATCTTCATATATCGGCGTACCACCGAAATCGTGTAACATCCGTAAAACACAATACTTTGCACCAGCTATATGATGATCATAACGAACAGACTAAAAATACAATAATATACAAACAGCATAGAAGATAAATTTAATGTTTGTTAACTTTGTAAAGAGATATTATACATATATGTATATTGAGACAATACAAAAAGAGGTGATGTTAGAGTCTCAAAGAGCTTTAATTAAAAATGTAAAGCACTAAGCTACAAGCAATCACGAAACAATTAATTTAAAAGGAATGCAGCATGATATCTGAAAGTATTTATGGCTTAAACAGTTGGTAGAAGAAAAAAACCAATCTGTAACATATTTTCAGTTCTATTTAAAACATGATGGCCTACAAATATAGAAGTTTTATTTCATAATGTCTAGCTTACAGTAAAGTATTCTTAAAACTAACTATGTAGAATAACAACAAAATTATCGTTTCTGCAAACATTCAACTCGTGAATATTTAAAAACTATGCATAGAAAGGTTTACTTTTTTTTAAAAACTGTGATTTGTTCTCTGATGAAGTGTCTTACACTGAGTCATAAAATGTCAGAAAATTTAATCTTCTATTCAATAGCTTATTACAAGTACATCATTATTTTTATTATTAAAGATTTTCACTGTTGAATTCGTGAAGCAATCTAAGCTAGACCACCAGTGAAAACCTAGAAGCACTGGACGGCCGTTTCGTCCTAGTATAGGACTCCCCAGTAATGCGCACCAACGATCTCACATGCGGGGTTCGAATCCAGGATCATCGGTCTCGTAAGCGGATGCTTAACCATTAGACCACTGAGCCAGCATCTACTCATGAGTTCAACTGTGAAAATGCAACAATCTCGACAAATCCCCATGCTGATATTAACAATTGTCTTAATTTATTTGAAAAACTAATTAACTGTCATTTATATTTATCCATGATTGTTTACAATTAGTCTTGTGCCTATGGAGTTGCTTTTCTTTTTCATTGTATAAAATACCTAATCGATGAATTCTAAAGTAATTTTATCTGATTTCTCGATCGAAAACATAAAGAGAAAATCATAAGAATAACTGTGGTAATTGTTAGTGAATTTCGCAGTATCTCAATTTGCTACAGATTGTGAGCATCTTATGAATCTACGTGAGTACATGCGGTTTACAAATGAAATTGATCAATTAAAACAATTCTACGACGGGAATATTGAAGTTAGTAAGTTTACATTTAGAAATATTTTGCCGTCAGTAGTTTAAGCAAATCATCAATTATGATGGATGCCCATTAGGAATGAAAGCTGATGGGTTATTGGTTATAGTGTGGTATGTGCTATTTATATTGACATAAGTAGTATATGATGTTAGTCGTAAAAAGAAGGTCTGGAAGCAGAGAGACAAGAGGATCGAACAGTAAAGAATGGAACCAAAATGAAATTTGTATGAAAATGCAAGGACAATGAAGTTTGAGTCATTTTGAGACAATCGATGGACATTTTGCAAATTAACTATTTACTTTATGATTGTTAGATTTTATTAATAACTCCTGTAATTTTGTGTTAAATAAATTTGTTTGTCCCCACTGATGTTCTCGTTCACTGCAATAGTATTCGACAACCAATCATTTAATAGTGAGTTAAAATAGTGCTCGGGCAGAAAGATATTTGTTACAAATCTTTCCATAAAAACCTTTGCTCTAAATCTGAAAATATAAATTTGTACTAAAAGATGGATAAATTGAATTTATTCCAAGATGCTTAGTAGATGGACAAAACCAAAAGTAAACAATTCAGTTGGTGATAACAGAGCTGAACACTTGAGAAAAGATGAAAATGGACATTTGAAACAACCATTAGGAAACGGACGTAATATAAATCAAAGTACTGAGAGAGGTGATGGGATTTTACGAGAGAAGATTGTAACAAACACTTTTTAGCAAATGCTGGTTCAATGGTCTTTCGGTAATGGCTGTTAGCCAACTTTAATTAATAGTGGGAGGTGTATTAATAAGTAGTGATTTAAAGTGTATGTTCTTTTGTGTATTGTTTGATTCTGATATTGATACACAAGCTTCCTATACATGAGCCCAACTAGTTACACGAGGGAAGAGACCAAAAGTGAAAAGGAGGCTTCCATTGGTTAACTAAATCGAGGAATAGCCATGTACTCAGTCATATATATATATATATATATATATATATATATATATATTCGTCCTGTGGAAATTTGAGCCACACTTTTCCACGAATCGCATGCATAATATCCCCTAGTAATAGAATTCATATATTGGCCAATATCGTGCGCTCAACATCTGATGAATGGTTGGCTGGACAACTGCATCGGTATACTAGTGATGAGAAGGATAGCCTCAACATATTGTACCAAACAAAAAAAAACATCATGAAAGATATATGTATATGCCAGGTTAACACAACATGAAAATAAGCCTGTTCAGTACTGTTAAGTAATACACAACAAAAAACCATATACAAAAAAGAAACATTGTTTACCAGAGTTAAATATCTACAAATAATTTCCTCAAGTTTAGGTAACGGTTCGTCAACTTGAAGTGATTTGAATATGGCAGGATTCCACATAGCAGCTCTGGCTATAACAACACCGGTTGCACTAGTCAATTGTCTAAAATATTCAATATCTTCATGATTTCTAATTATATCACGAGACCCACCACTTAAATGAAGATAAACAAAACAGGAATAAAAGAAAAATACACTATAGAGGATAATTTTATTCAGACAAGCAGAAAAAGCAATGTTAACACATAATAACTATGTAAATAGCTAATTATCCCCAAAGAATAGTACAACAGATTATTAGTCAGTTAATCGTTACGACAAAGATTTATACCTATTCTACTAAATTAGTACTGTATTGCTACAAAGAAACATAATGCATGGAGGTAGAATACATGTGCAGGCTATACGTTCTTCATTATAGGTATCCCTGAATCATTACTCGTGTTTCATGGAAAAATCAAATGAGTAATGTTGAGTTTAGGTATACAGTAATACAAAAAGATTGCAAATCGGTTGATGAGGTAGTATGTCCCAATTGATAGAGATAGTCAGGGCGTTTATTACGTATGCCATAATACTGTCTCAATAGGGAAATCCCTAGTCCTGACTACAATATATACCAATCATTTTTACTAAAATTTGATCAATCGGATCGGTAATATGTGTAAATATATAATCGTTTAAAAGTCTCCATTATATTTAAACTAATAAGAGAATAGTGTCTTTGACAGAGGTGTAAATAATGGCCATATGATGTGCAGGGTTTTAATGGAAAAATACTGCGAGTTCCACACAATCAAACTAATTACAACTGATTATTGATATGTTAGATGGTTGGAGGTAGTCAGTAGGAAACCCTGTATAAGAACCTAGATTTCGTGTTATTTAACACTCGTCAACAAGAGGTGGTTGAATTCGTGGGGGAATTGATGTCCTCTGTGGTATTCAGACCTAAATCACTCAACTTCGCAGCCTGAAGCATTACCGCTGAGCTATTTGTATCGCAACAGACCGCCTGAAGGACTGAAATATTTTCAATTGGTTAATTATTGAGTAATAACCAGTATTATATTTGCCTAGTCCTCACCATCAGTTACCGTAGGATTACAATTGTGTTATTTCTAACACTCCACTCCCCAAACTAACTTGACAATTCTGAACTGTGTTTCTCAAATTTAGATTCCCACTTCCTTTTCACTCCATCAATTACTAATTTTCTGTCTCGCAGTTCAGATGTGAAGTGTGGCCATTGAAACTGACACATCAGCATGCCGAATTCTACTTTGTTGATTATGCCTGATTCATTGACCAACGCAAAGATACTGAATGGTGAACTGATAACATTTCATTAGCAGAAATTCTACTACGTACCCCAATTTTCATGAAGAAAAGGCCATTTGACAACTTTTTAAAACTGTATTTGACCTCATACTCCAAGAATTGAATACTAACAAGCTATAATTATGATACAAACACAAATATATATAACTCAAAATTTATTCACACTGTCATCTATCTGCTTACTTTGCCAAAACAGGTATACCTACTGAATCAGCTATTGCTTGAATAACTTCATTACGATTCCGATGCATTGAACGTTCATTGATTGTTCTACCGTGTACTGTGATCGCTGCAACACCTGTCGATTCAATTAGCTTAGCCAAAGCAATTGTTTTTTCTAACTATAATAAATTTAAAGAAAAAATGTAATTTATACTATTTCATATTCACTGGATGTTTGAATTTTCCATCTGTTTTAATAAATAACTTAATTATTTTAATTCAGTAATCGAAGACGGATACACCCAGCTAAATATACCGCCAATTTCAGTCAAATGGTTAAGTTGAAATACTAATGGATAGATTTAAGAGAAAGAACGATAATTAAAAGTCTCGATAATTTCCTGTTATTCTACCGGACAACACTAAATCAATTACCACTGAACCAATAGTCTACATCAGAAATCATGATTAACTAGAAGCTTGAAACGGCTCTCAACGCAACAAAACCTAAGCTATCAAGAAACGGAAGGAACAAGAAAATTGAAATTCAATTCAATCGTCACCATAAGCGTAGCCTCGAATATGTGGAATCAACTAAGTATATGTTTGTAACTTCCAACACTCACTTTTACAGTGTACCATTGGGGGAGTATTTAAGAGACAAGGAGACGTAATGTAAACGGCAGAAGTAGAAAATCAAAAGTGGATATTACGTACTGATGAAATATATATATATATATATAGCTGACATGCATCCTTGCAACAAATGAATTCATATCGACCTAATTGCCTACCAATTTTACCATTTGTAATTTAATTCAAACTATTTTAATTACTCAATTAAAGCATAGCATGATAACATATCATCATCACATACTTCAGGCAAAATCCTCATTTTACAAGTAACTGGAATTCGGAGATTTGTAGTCAAAGTAGTAAGAATCTGCAAACAAAAAATAATGAGGAGTGTTTAGCTCAAGGGACTTTAAAGAGATTACTTTGACTCGCATATAGTATTCGTCACGGATTTCTTAAGTTTGGGATACGAATGAAGAGCAGGAAGAATTGGGCAACTGTTTTATCCTTAAAAATGAGCACTCACAATCCTTCCAGGGATCGAATCAGGAATCTCTAAACCGTCGTCCAATCGCACAATTCCAACTTTAGTTCCTGGTAGGTTCGTTGGTACGCACTGCTAAAACGTCATAACACTAGAATAAAACAACCCTTCAATTCTCCCTGATTTTCAGTGGTATGCAACATAAGATCAATCTGTGACGAATATAATTACCTACAAATAATGTGAATGATAAATATTCAGGTACATGAAATACTACTTATATTAGATATAAAATTCTATTTGTAAAATATCTCACCGATGGAAATTAAATAAATTTTAACACATTTCATTCAAAAGTCTCATCTGGACATCTTCAGGAAAATAAGTAGAATCACCAAATGTATTGAAGATTTACTTGAATACGCCCACCATCAAGTCACAAAATAATTCAGTGAAGACGTTTTTCAATGAGTTCATTTAAAATATAAGTCAAATTATGTTTTCTGTCTTCTGCTTACATGGTAATTATTTTACGTAAAACTAAACTCATTTCAAACTTGATGAAAATCCATATAAATACTACTTATATATAAACTATAATGGGGATATTGGCAGTTTGAAATATAAACATCGATTTACGAACAGTAGTCATCATGTACCAATAGAATTGGGTGTTGTTATTCTTCAACTTTGTAACCATATCTAACAGTGAAATCCAGAAGGCGCATTTCATTTAATTTGGGACTTATCAGCTGAATATATCTGTATCCCAACATCAGTCAGTAACAACGTAGGACTTCGTACGGACATAAATCAGTTCGAGTTGCCATACCACATTAGCACAAAGATGCAGTCGTCGATTCAAATCCCATAGTGCTAGAGGTAGTAAGAGTCTAAGCAGTAATCAGAAACATTAGGGTTTGAAGATATTATCCAAGGAGTATAATCCAGTGAAATAAATTTCGAAAGAGGAAAAAGAGACAAGGAGGAATCAGAAGATTAAAATTTGGGAGAACACAAAGAGTGGATGCACCTCCACTATTGCAAATGATTTACAGCCATGTCATTCAACGTCTCTAACCATCGGTTGCTATCATATCGCCGAACCCAACCACGTAGTATACACCTACCAACATGACTCACTCCACTTATCAGTGATTTCATGGATTTGTGTCACGTTTTGGTCTGACCACCCCTAGTTTTCCCCGACCTACTCCTAGTCCTACACCACAAAACATAGCACGTCGGGACAGTTGGTGGTTCGACATATGTAACACGTGTCCAAGCCATCTCAACTGATGAAGTTGCACTACTTCATTAATCGATTTGCCGTCCTTACCCAGTACCCGATTTCTAACAACTGCGTTACTTACTCGATGGTTCCAGGATATACGAGCAATGTTTCGAAGACACCTATGATCAAATACTAGTAACCTACGAATATCCTCTACTCTTAACGGCCATGTTTCACTGCCATGAAGTAGGACGGAACGAACTGATGCGCAGTAAGCTCGTCCTTTGGTCGGTAGACGGATATCTCGCCTACGCCATACATGACGCAAGTTGGTAAAAGCTAGTCGAGCCTTCTGTATCCGTGTTGAGATTTCGTCACACACTAGACCATAAGGGGTGGTCAGAAGTGAAGCGGTCGACACACTCAACTACTTCACTCCCTATCATTAGTTCGGGTGTCGATGCAACCCAATCATGAAGCAACATTTTGCATTTCGAGGGGGAGAATCGCATCCCAAACATGACCGCATTGTTGCTTAGAGTGGTCCGAAGACTCTGCATTTTGTCAGCGTCTTCACCAAATACAAATATGTCATCGGCATATCCGAAGTCAACAAGTGAATCTCCTGGTAGAAGTTCAACCCTTGAAAATTTGGATCAGGAAAGTGTTATCTCTAAAAGCATGTCTACGATAAACTTAAACAAGAATGGAGAGAGTGGACAGCCCTGACGAACACCACGAGGTAATCAATTCTGATGACAGTTCGCCATAAGCTCTCACTCGACCAGTTGTGTTCGAGTAGAGAGCCTTTAAAAGGTTAATGTACTGCTTTGGTACTCCTTTCGGTGACAAACACTAGCACATAATCTCACGATCAACCGAGTCAAATGCCGTCTTAAGGTCGAGAAATACTACGATTGTGGGGCGTCTGAATGTGCGTCTATGATCTAGGACCTGACGTAGTGTGAATATCTGATCTATACAACCACATCCAGGTCGAAAACCAGCCTAGTTTTTTCTAGTCTGCTCTTCACGAGATTTCCTTAAGCGTCGAAGTATTATTGAAGCTAGTATTTTAGATACTATATTTGTCAAACTGATTCCTCTGTGATTGTCACAAGAGGACTTTTGTCCTTTCTTATAGACTGGAACAATCAGTGATTGAGACCAGTCAGATGGGATTTCGTCCAGTTCCCAAATTCTACCTAAGACCTCAGTTATTCTCATTGCTAATACTGGACCACCATCCTTAAAAATCTCAGGAGTAAACCTGTCAGGACCTGCTGCTCTCCCACGCTTCAGATTTCCTATAGCTTTTTCAACTTCATATAGAGTCGGAGGACCTACATTAACTTGCCATTCAGGTCGACTGGAGATCATGGGAAACCAAAGTGCGGCTGAAGGCCAGATGAACTGATCCCGAAAGTGTTCTGCCCATCGATCAAATCCCTTTGATTGAGAATGAATAATACGTGCATCTTTTTCTGAGATACTTTCCCAACAGTTGAGGTTCCTGATGCCGGTTTCCTTAACGGGTCTGAACAGTTGTCTGCTGTTACCTACTGCCGCTATCTTTTCCATCTCTCTTGCTTTCGCTGCCCACCACTGTCCACGATCATTGCGTAGGCTTCTTGTCAACTTGCGCTTAAACTGACTCCGCTCTTCGTTATGTTCAGAGCCAGATGGAAGGAGTTTCCAGCCATCCATCAGTGCGGTTGATGCTGGTGAGATTCAGTGTTTCTCTCTAACCTTATGGTTTACTGTACTAGCATATATCACCACAACATTTCGGATATCATTCCACGCTGTCTTGTGGTGGGCATCACTTACATGGCTGCCTAACTGTTTTTCTAGTTGTTCCTGAAATAAATTCTTAGCTTGGTGATCATTAAGTAGGACCCTAAGAGGTTTCCTTGCAGCGTCATTCTTACGTCCATCAAGACGCAGACAAATACGCGCTTGCACTAGAGCATAGATGTTTATGGTAAGACTTGAAATCATGAATAATTGATTCAAATATTAGACAGTTATATTCAATGTGTTAGCGTAGTAGAATTCGATGTTGTTGTTAAATCAATAGTAAAAATGAAAAACCAATAGAAAAACAACACTTCAGCCTTGTATAAAATTATGGCAATTAATCAGTATACATTCTAAACGTAATTTAAGTACGTTAAAAAGTGAAACATCTTAACTATACTGAAATTGATTTTCAGCTGACAAGATAAATTACTGCGAAAATTATTAGAAGCAACTAATATTAGTTCAAATAAAGCCAGAAAAAAATATTGGTGCAGAATAATATGAATTCATTGGAAGAACTGAGAGAAGAGTACATGTTCGCATTTCTGAGCATGTTCCAAAGAAATTGAGGTTGCGAGGGACTAGGGCTCTCAACAGTGCAATAGCTCGGTATTTACATGACACCGGGCATACCATTGACATTCCTCATGTTTTAGCAGACAAAGAAGTACGGCTGCTCTCCGTTTTGCTGAAGAGATCGCGATAACAAAACTTAAACCGGATTTATGTATTCAAAAAGAGACAGTGATAAACTTATTACTACCTTGGTAATCCAATTTTTTTAGTTGTTTTTTTGTTTTTGGTTATTAGTGTTATTCTATTTACTTATTTTTTTTAGAATATTTAGTTTGTGTTATATTTCTCTTCCATTACTGAATTCTTAAACCACCCTTTCATTCACACACTTCCGCTCACTTGATCTTCTTAAATTATGTGAACCCTTCAAATTCTATTCAATTATTACGTAACCCATCTTATCAGTTTTTTAAATCCATGGATCCTTCATTACCCATCCTTAATGTTTCCTTGATTCTAACAGTAAATAACTTCTGACCTGTTCTTGCATTCCTATTATATATATATGGTTAATACTGTTAACCTTGGTCATTCCAATTCTTTACATTCAATTATGTCAATTGTTTTCTAGTATTTCTTACCTCAATGTTAAATTCTAATACATATTTGGTTGTAAGCAGCTGACGAGAAACCTCGAAATATAATGAATCCATATTATTCTGCACCAATATTTGTTCTGGCTTTATTTAAATTCATAAAGGGAACTAACTGCATAATACTAGTCCACTTTTTACCAAAATTTATGATAATCTAAAATATCACTATATTGATGTGTTCCGATGTAGCTAGCAGTGGTATTAAGTTGATTTTCGTCCTATTTTAGACTCATCAGCTGGACGTCCCTGCACCCCAATGTTGATATTAACACCGAGACCTGGCCCCAGTGGCTTTCTGTTTAAACCCCAACGCGTTATTTACTTTAATTCCACTTCCTTACAAGTGAAATTGAATTTTATTCCCTTTTCACATGCCAGGGTCTAAGTGAATAATGCTTCGAAAGTTTCGAGTGGCAGTAACTACGTTCAAGTCTCAGAGCGAACATCGACATTATTGAGCAAGTACGCCCAGCTAATGAGTCCCGAATAGGGCTAGACTACGTTGAAACACTTTGGATGAAAATATTTTTGAGTTAATGGTACTATCTGAGTAATCTGCTCAAAATACCTATATGCCGGAAGATGTCGATCAGTTGCAACACATAACATCAACAACCGGATAATCCCAACACTTGTAAGTGATATGTTTATAAATTGGTTCGTTTTTATTGTTGTTTTCGTAAATTAATATATGACATACTATACAATCGTTATAAGATATAGACTTTTTGAGTACAGATAAACTTCTGACATCATTATCGTCATAAAGATAAACAACTTACGTCTTTGACAATTTCTGGTTTTGTCAGTAAGGCTGCTCCCATCCCACCCTTGAAGCAAACAAGAAAAGTTAAAAGACAAACTGGGTTGTACAAATTATAAGAGATGATGGAGAAGATTTGTAGCTCAGGTGGATGATTTTGGTGGAGTTTTGTTCTCTGAGCTGGATGGTTTGGTCGTAGAGCTTTCATCGTTCTTCTGAACGACAAATTTAAGGTCAATAAGAACCAATCAACGTCGAGGTGCACAGAACAAGCTTTGAGACACATATGGAGAAATTCAAACACTTCACTTCTATCTGAAGTTTGTGCTGATGATGTCGTTCAGAAGAACGACGAAAGCCCCACGACCAAACCATCCAGCTCAGAGAACAAAACTCCACCAAAAACAAATTATAAGGCTAATATCAAGCGTAACTGTGTTAATCAACATGTTGACAAAATTTCATGGATATTTACTACATATAGAAGTGGTTTGTATCAAAATCTAAGATAACTTAATGTAGGAAGTCTGCTAAAAAGTTTGAAAAAACTATTTTCCAGCTGTGTACGTAATGTAATAATCCTTCGTTTTTTAATTTCTTTGAACTGAATAATTAACGTTGTTGGCCGTGGGTACTTACGCGTTATCTCAAAAGGCTTACATATCATTACAATACAAAATACTAGGAAATTCAAACAGAAACACTACAGTTCTTGATACGTTCTATATGAATATTAAACTATTTCACTCTAAAGTGTTTTGTTGACTAATGTAGAGGATTAAGGATATCCCGACCACAATATGGTAGCAGTCCAAAATACTGCTGAGTTTTAGGCAGTTATTGACTGTGAATTTCTTGGACGAATTTTGTGATGAAACAGGTCAAATAGCACTTCTTAATATCAACTTCAATAGTGGAAATAAAATGTATCCCACTTTGCTCTGAATTTTAGATATCTAGTTACTTTTGTGTGTACTTATTGTTTTGTCCATGAAATTTTCTTTTACAGCTCATTTGAATTTACCTCATTTTTCCTATTTCTATGTTACATATAGAGTGATGGCTTGATGGTCAAAACACTCGGCTATTAAGACTGTCCCATCTAGATGGTATAACTAGCCCACACAACAGTAACTCGATTCACTGTTTCATGTCTCCTTTCTGGTGTGCTTTTAACTGATAAACAAAAACAATCTGCTAAGTAATAGTCTCATAATAATGTATGAACAAGTGATATCACAATAAAATCAATGATAGTCATATATATACTAACCTTTATAGAATATGCTTTAGGACAACCCATATTCACATCAATACCCATAACATCATTTTCCCTGTTTGGCTCAGATTAAGTGGAACAGAGAAAACTTACAGCATTTTGGCGGCTTGTAATGCTGTCCCAGGCTCTGGAGTTCCCTGAAAATGATTATAAACGATATTATATAACAAACATGATGAACGACATACTAATTGGACAATAACGCGGTTTTTCTCTTCCGCCGATGTACGAAATGTCACTGAACCATCGGGTAGAACGAAATCAATGGTATTCAATTCAGCTAATGAAAACATAGAGAACAAATCAAAGAAATCATCAGATTAATGCTTACCATTTACTATCCTTGAAGAGCGGATAATTCTTTGGTCGATCAATTCCTGAAAACATTAGGTGTTGGAGTTATACATAAACATTTATCAATAAACTCTATACATCTCAATAGAATTAATGGGTCACCTGTCGAGAGAATATACTACGATTTGATAAACACTATCGAGCTTGAAAATGAGAAAGGTGGTTCAGATTTCAAACTGGCAAACTAAGCCTTGTGGGTTAGACCTTTAGGTCAAAGGCTCGGGGTGTGGCCCCCTAAGATAACCACCTGCTTCGGTCTGGGCACCCGGGCAGTATCACAGTCCACACGCAAATGATGAACTCCCTATATCTATGGAAACTACTTTTGTCGCTTCGAATAACAATCAAATGATTCAAATGATTGTTATTACTATTATTATTATTTACCACATTATTCAACCTCTTTTATACTTATACAGCGGCTCGTCTTTGGTGGAAATTTGACTCTATCTAAACGTTCTCGAGTCACTGTTCGGTTGAAAATTGTATGTTTCCACTGAATATAAGTACTGAAGCAGTTTTTCTGAAACCACGTGCACCATTCAAACTGGCTGCCTTCAACGTTCGCACACTTATGCAGGTCGGACAACAGATAGGGTTGGCTATGTCTTTGGAAAGTCTTAATATCGACGTGTGTTATCTATCCGAGACCCGTATTCAAGACTCTGGCGAAGTACTACAAATTCGATCTCCATCTGTCGCTTCGAAAAGCTTGTTTCACGTGCGCTTATCCGGGGACCCTGTGGCATCTTCGTCTGGTCTTGCTGGCGTTGGTGTCGCACTAAGTGCTAGAGCTGAGACAGCACTAATCGATTGGATCCCCATTAACAGTCGGTTATGTGCTGTTAGATTAGAAATTTCCATCAAAGTGAGGAGAAATCGGCGTGAAAAACGATGTCTTTTCGTCATCTCCGCCTATGCAACGACAGATTGCAGCCCGGATGCAATCAAGGATGAGTTTTACCACCAGTTATCTGTTCTTCTCCAGAAAGTGCGTTCGACAGATATTGTACTACTAGCCGGAGACTTGAATGCTCAGGTCGGGCGTCTAGGCACAGGAGAGAGTCGTCTAGGTGGCCGATGGGGACTTGTTGGTCGCAGAACAGATAACGGGGACCGTCTACTGCAACTTTGCACAGACCACAACCTGTTTCTGGCTAGCATCAACTTTCGGCACAGTCATCGCCGATGTGCCACCTGGCGTCCTCCCTCTGCATCTCAAGCCTGTATTCACATCGCGATCAGCTACCGCTGGCGTGGTTGTGTACAAGACTTCCGCTCCTTTTGGAGTACCTATCTGGACTCTGACCATGCCTTGGTCTGCGCCAATCTTACCTCACTTTTCAGTGGACAACGAAGTGACCGCCACCAACGGATTGATGTTAGCAAGCTGGTTGCAACTTCTGTTGCTAGTAAGTATCGAACCGAGCTAGTTTCTAGGTTAGCTACCATTCCACCGAAAAGTATAGATGAGCATTGGTTGCGTGACGCCATGGAAATGGCGAGTAAAGCCGCTTGCGACTTCGCGAAACGTCCCGCTTATAAGCAGAATTCTTCGAAGGGCAGTTCAACTGGCCTGCTGCTCCGGCAACATCGGTCAGACTGTCCAGTCCTCCATGGCCAGTGACGACTGATCCACCAAATGAGGCGGAAGTCCGCAAGGAACTCCAACTCTTGAAGCGCTACAAGTCACCTGGCCCAGATGACTTACCTCCGGCTCTTTTTAAAGATGGTGGTGACTTTCTGACTAAGGAATTGACGACGTTGTTTACAAAGGTTTGGGAACTAAAGAGTGCACCAACGTCATGGAATGAGTCGATAGTTGTCCCTATCTTTAAAAAGGGTTCACGTCGTTCTTGTAACAACTATCAGGGGATAAGTTTACTTCCGATTGCGTCCAAGCTATTGGCTTCCGTCATTCTTCGTAGGTTGTTCAAAACCCGAGAAAGATTGACTCGCGAGGAGCAGGCTGGGTTTCGTTCTGGTCGAGGATGTATTGATCATATCTTCACCCTCCGCCAAATGTTAGAACTCTTATACTTATCCAAGGCCAACAATCGTAGTGTTTCTTGACATCAGGGCTGCCTTCGATTCGTTGGATAGGACTGTTCTCTGGGATTGTCTATTGAAGAATGGTGTGCCTGAAAAGCTTATTAACATCCTAAAAGCCCTATATACAAACACCTCAGGCAGAGTGAGGGCAAACAACCACCTCTCTCCATTGTTCCATTCGAGCAGTCAGGTCAGAGAGGGTTGCCCAATCTCACCATTCCTCTTCAACTTTGCCATCGATGACATTCTGGAAACAGCTCTGATGGATGTAAGTAATGGCAGTGTGGATCTGTTGCCTGGAGAAAGACTTATCCACCTTGAGTAAGCGGACGATATTGTTTTACTGTGCGATAGTGCCCAAGCCATGCAATTCGCACTTAATCAGTAGGCAATCAGTGTTCGTAGGTATGGTATGTGCTTTGCACCTTCGAAGTGCAAAGTACTTCTACAAGACTGGCAGGATTCAAATCCTGTACTCACCCTGGACGGTGAGCAGATAGACGTAGTTGAGAAGTTTGTGTATCTGGGTAGCTGCATAAGTGCTGGTGGGGTGTGAGTGATGAGATCAATGCACGAATAGTGAAAGCCAGAGCGGCTTATGCCAATCTGGGCCACCTTTGGCGCCTTCGTGATGTTAGTCTGGCTGTAAAAGGCCGGATCTACAACGCGTCGGTGAGAGCAGTTTTGCTCTATGCTTGTGAAACCTGGCCTCTCCGAGTTGAGGACGTTAGACAACTCTCTGTGTTCGATTATCGCCGTCTCCGAAGGATTGCTGACATTCAGTGGCAACACCATGTCAGTAATGCAGAGGTTCGGCATCGTGTGTTCGGGCACAGAGATGATAACTCAATTGGTGTCACCATCTTGAAACACTGACTTCGGTGGCTTGGACATGTTCTACGAATGTCGTCCCAGAGAATTCCACGTCGTGCATTATTTGCCGACTCTGGGACTGGTTGGAAGAAGCGGAGAGGTGGTCAGTGCATGACATGGTGTCGTGGCATGAAAGAAAGCTGAAAATGACTGGCTTCTGTTGGTCCTTCACGACTCCCTGGTTGTGGTCCGAGAGATGGTGCTACACAGTGGCTAGAGACGTTATCAGATATGGCTCAGAATAGAAGCCAGTGGCGATCCTGCTGTAACCTTCTTTTACTTTCTTCATAAAAAGTGGTTGTATCTCCCTTACCTGAAAGATTTCTTCCGATTGTACCTTTCCGTTCTCTCGTTTCTACCATACTACCTTACTCCAATCTCCTCGTTATTGTTCTCTTTTTTTGCGCTCCTTAGCTTTTTTTTCTATTTCTCTTCGAATTCTCATTGTTTTGTGTGGCGCATATATATTGGCGCTCTCTTGTACCAATATTTATGTGTTCAAATAAATAAATAAATAAAGGCTCTAACCACAGAGAAATTAACTAAGTTAGAACTGTAGACTACTATTTACTCTGTTGGTTACCACATTTTTGGGAGCATCAAATAGGACAATCTGCTTTCATACATAACTTATGTTGTTTCAGCTCCATAATATAATTTGGATTCGATCGCTCAAGGCAACCAGCGCAAATCCACTATCATAAAACGTTTAAATCCAACCAATAAACTCCCATGTACCAAACATCTTGACTAAAAACTCAATATGCATCGGAAGCCACAGTACTGGTTTGATTACCTTTTGGAAAACAATTCGAATAAGCTATCGTTTGAGAAAATATATACTTGTGGTAAAGAAACGCAGTCTATAATGTTGAAGTTATAGATAACAAACCTGAATAGCATGTGAGATTAGGATTACAACAATGAAAGGTAGAATAAACAGCCTCATCATTTAAAACAAAAGTATTTCTTAGAATACTTAATTAAAACCACGTATTCAACTGTGTAGATGGATTTGCACTCAAATCTAATAACTAAAAAAGCTCTGAAACAACGAAATACAACGATGCCTCAATAACAAATACAGTCCTTAGTAATATTAATCAGTGAATTTATACGAAACAACCCAACATACTTCAGAAATTACATAATCTGCACCATATTCCAGACACAGAAGACGCATGGGATGTGTTGAAACACGTACCATAGGTGCCAGAAAAGTCTTGCGTGTTGCATCCAAAGTAGGGCGGCTCTGAAATTATTCGTAAATAATAGGCTCATTACACATAGTGATGGAGATTTCAAAGACAAGACGCAAACAATTTATATATAAATTGTTTTCCTTATTGAAATACGGCAAGACCGTTGTAATCTATTGTCATTGCCTGTTAACATATATATGACATACAATGAGAAGGGTTAGAAAAGGGTTTTACTAATGTTTCTCAGTAAGTATTAGTACCTGTTACGAGAGAAACCATGATAACCTTCACTCAGCATGAAACAGACATCTGGACAATTACAAATCACGGACTCTCTCGATTAGTATATACTTGACTAGCACCATAGTTATAATATTTATAAATTCAATGACAAAAAAATTAGTGGTGTTTAGTGGTTCCGAAAAGACATTGCTGATATTTATGATAAAAGACTACTAACTTGTAGATGTATATGGGCTACAAAGATCATTTTCATATGTACAATATGTACAATCCGAATTTCTGAACATTCAATAGTGTACTGAAAACAAACGTAAGCTCAACACCTAGGTGTTGAGTAAATTCAATATTATTGTGTTTAGGATGGACTGTAGACAAAGTGATGACTCTGTCTTGCCCGCAACTGATGTGTTAACTAAATAGGCATGATCATTTTTTTATCCAGGTCGAAATTTCGCAGGTTTTCAGCGGGATAATTAAAATTACCGATAGTAAGTCAGTGAAGCAATCGAAACAGTAGTTGGAAGATTTTTCAATAAAGGATAGACACTTGGGACATTATGAGGAATAATATTATTACAACCTGATCGACGGTCATCTTTCCAAGGTTGGGCGTCAAGGCCACGATGTAACCTTCGAAGCGAATTATCCGCCTTAGTTTTTTCATCTTTCTAGATCTGAACACTATGAGTGCCAAGTGATAACTGTCAACGGTTTAACAGCTTGAGGCTTCTACGTTGAAGCCCTGGAATCTGTGTTTGTAACTTCGCTAAATTTATCAGACTGCTTTGAGGTACAAAACGAATAGAAATAACACATTTATTACTCAATAGTTTTCTGCTGTTCTTCAACGGATTTGAAGTGGTGTGGAAGACTGCCCAACAAACTACGAACGTGCTGTTACTTCTAACCACACAAATGTTAATTATAGTAGTAACACAGACCTAGCTTTACTTACTTACTTACTTACGCCTGTTACTCCTCGTGAAGGAGCATAGGCCGCTCACGAGCATTCGCCATCCAACCCTGTCCTGGGCAGTCCTTTCAAGCTCCTTCCAGTTGTTATTCGTCCTTTTCATATCTGCTTATATTTCCCGACGTTTTGTTCTTTAATCTTCCTCTCTTCCGCTTCCTTTCGAATTCCAAGTTAGGTCTTGCCTCGTGATGCAGTTTGACGATTTGTGTAATGTATGTCCTATCCATTTCCATCGCCTTTTCCTAATTTCTTCTTCAGCTGGAAGCTGGTTTGTTCTCTCCCAGAGAAGGCTGTTGCTGATGGTATCCGAGCAATGAATGTTGAGTATCTTGCGTAGATAGCTATTTATAAATACTTGTACTTTCTTGATTGTGGTTGTAGTAGTTTTTCACGTTTCAGATCCGTACAGTAGAACTCACTGCGTTGACGTTCGTATTGAAGATTGTGACGTTGATCTTGGTTGACAGGTGTTTTGAGTTCCATATGTTCTTCAATTGTAGGAATGCGGCCCTTGTTTTGCCAATCCTTGCCTTCACGTCTGCATCTCAACCTCCTTGTTCATCGATAATGCTTCCCAGGTATGTGAAGGATTCTACATCCTTCAGAGTTTCGCCATCAAGAGTGATTGGATTGCTGTTCTCCGCTTTGAATTTGAGGACCTTAGTTTTCCCTTTGTGTATGCTGAGGCCTACTGATGCAGAGACTAATGCTACACTGGCTGTCTTTGTCTGCATCTGTTCTTGTGTATGCGATAAAAGGGCTAGGTCATCTGCGAAGTCCAAATCGTCTAATTGATTTTGAGCTGTTCATTGTATTCCGCGTTTTCTCTCAGATGCCGAGGCCTTCATAATCCAATCGACCACCAGAAGAAAGAGGAAGGGAGAGAGGAGACAGCCTTGTCTGACTCCGGTCCTTACTTGGAATGCATCTGTCAGCTGTCCTCCATGCACCACTTTGCATTGTAGTCCGTCGTAAACGTTCCGGATAATGATGACAATTTTCTCAGGACTCCATAGTGTCGAAAAAGTTCCTCCTATCTACACTGTCAAATGCCTTTTCATAATCAATGAAGTTGATGTATAGTGACGAGTTCCACTCAACTGATTGTTTGACGATGATCCGACAGACCTGGATTTGGTTATTCGTTATTCTTACTATATGAACATTATGAGTCGTGTGGGAAGTTTGCAATTCATCTGCTGGACATGTAGACCTGTAGATTTGTGTCGACGATAGTGATTTAGTCAGATGAACGGAATGACGTGACTTTCTAACTCACTTTGAAGTCATACCTCACGGTAAGTTGTAGAACTATGGTCTACTATGATATTAGTACTGCTCTAATAATAGACCTAATCCTAAACTTGTCGATTTGCCATGATATAACTGCCTAATCTATAAGATCTTACGTGGAAGTCACACCATCGACTACACCAACTCACTGTATCGTATCAATTACCAATACATGATGAGGAAGAATGTTAGGCTGGAGAAAGAACAATATATTTAATATGAATAGAGACCACGCCTGCATGGCCGAGCCATGCCACTCGATCAACTCCAGTCAATTCAATTCATTGTTCGCGCCTTCTCCATTGTTAGGTATTTCCCCGAGTTAAATATTGAATATCTATTTCCTGAGTAGTCTCGTGTTCACAGCTTTGTGGATTGTGTGGCTATTGTCCAATGCCACTACAAAGTAACTAACGTGAGCATTACATTTATTATTATCCAGGTCCTGTGACTACTTTGATAATCGTATATAAAAAACATGCTGGTATTGATGAAATGCATTTTAAGAATACTTTGAATTAACAGGGTGCCATCAATGTTGCACGGGCCAGTACATGGTGTGCAAGTGATCGATCCACAATGGGTCATCCTTGACGTTAACAATCTTTGACAATCTATATAACCTTTAGTGATCAGTCGTCTATTGCAAAATCTTTTCAACCTGACGAATGATTTGTCTAGGACCCAGTGTTATTACGCTGGTCCCACAAGTAAATAAAAAATCATAAATGTTCTTCAGATAGGTCAGTTTCTTATCCAACGTTTCGGACTGACATTTATTTGACTTCTAGCCTGGTCATATACCATAGGGTTAATGATAAGCTATAGACATATATAATAGTTTTGAGGTAATCCTAATCATTTTGTGACAGTTTATGACGTTATGGGACTATGAATCCGTCTAGGTAATTCACCTGAGCAGGATTCATGTCAACATAGCTCTACCACCAATATTTCATTTAATGCTATTTTGTATTGATACATAGATCAGTACCGGATAAAGGGATGAATTAAGGCCTGTAAACAGTAAGATGCGTTACTTTTTCATTCTGTACTGGTCCTTACATCAGATGTTGCTGTTTTCGCAATCCTTATGACAGACCAGCTAAAAGAGAAGAAATGATTTTCGACGGTGTCTTCATTTAACGCGTTAGAAAAGATATGGCCATAGAATAATAGACCCTATCCAATGTAGTGGACTTGCCATGATGTGATTATCCAACCTAAGAGCTTTTACGTTGAATTCACACGATCTTCTATATTGGCACATCGTGTTGTGACAGCCAGTGATATTTGTAGTAAATTTTTAGGGGCACATTTGGACCAAACATAAAATAGTTTATTTTATATAAGTGCCAAGAAGCTACATAGAGTGACTACGGCTGTATAGCCGAGGAACTGAGTCACTGTTGATCGTTTCAGCGTTCGTCTTTCTTGACCTTCTCCATTTGTCCAAAGTCTAAAGTAAGTCTTCTCAGCCATTGTATGTCCAGCTTCAGAGATCGTGTGTTTAAAAACGATTGCCATTAGGAACCTTTCATCAGTGTGTAGAGAGGAATCACATAACAAGATAGTAGTTATAAAGCAACCGTAGATATCAGCTCTTTATTAAGTTAGATAATTAAGCATCATTCAAAAATACGCAGGTTGAGGATGTCTGAAAATCACTTGTCTTATTGCACAACGTATTTCATGTATATTCAGCAGATTCAACAAATTAATATCTCATTGGGCCGATAAAAATAGTTCATGATAATACATGTTTTTCATCTCATCTTCACGAACCTTATCTCCAGTGTTCTTTTCCACTATTATTGCTAACACAGTTATTTGTGGTTGTGTTAGTGTAGTGTGAATATTGCTCAATTGTGCAAGATATGGTAGGCAAAACTGACTGGTTGTTTAGTTGGTAATGTATGTCCGTGAGTAGTGTAACGAGTAGAGTAGTACATTAGGACGCTTTGTGTAGATTTGACAGTGGACTTCTATGATCGATGGTGTCACAAAAACCTATAGTACCTACATCAGTAAAGATTATACTATGCCGTACGTGACCAATTAATGGAGTTCAATTAGTGTGGACGTAATTCTAGACCTACCTGATTTAGTTTGCGATCGTTAATATTCATTGTTTATTAGCAGTAAGAGTAAAAAGCGACCGGTCACCGGAGACTATCGGTTTACTTAACATAAATCTATGTTAATAGATAATTAGGGATCACTACTACGGTGAATAAATCACGTTCTCCGCGAGTGTGGACAACTGGTTTTTCGACAACTGAGGATCACCATGAAGTAGTTCATTACGCAACATCGACAGCTTGCAGCGTCAATAATTAGAACTCACAGTTAAAAATACTAACAGAGAATGAATACGTGACAAAATGCCACCTTTGTAGAACATTTGATATCAAAACTTTCACACTAGTTGAAATTACCTAAACAAAAGCTTTAGAAAACTAGGTTATCCATTTGTTAGAACGAAAATTTAGAAATTCATAAAAGAGATTGACTGGATTTATATGCACTCTGAAGATGAACCTCAGCCGAGTTGATAAACAGAACGTAATTATAGAGGGCGTCACAAATGCATCATAATGATTGCATACTTAAATAATCATAACTACAGCACCATGAAAAATAAGCGAAGATAACAGAGAACGAGGGGTGTCATACATACTAGGTCACGAAAATGGCTGAAATAACAAACCCCACCATCGATAGTCGACACGGATTGGTCGTTAATTTCGACGGTGAAAACTTTCAAGATTATGAATGCCCTGGTACGGCCGAGAGTGGGGAGAGTCCGCTCTCCCTCTCGAAATACTCTCACACGGCCACGCGTATACAGCCTCTGCCAGGCAAGTCCTACTCATTGCCTTCTCGTGGCGGGGGTGTTGTTTACGAAAATGAGAGGACGAAAAGCGAATGTCCGGCGCTTTAACCGGATTCCAAATCAATGGTGCACATGGGCTCCAGTATCCTGCGGGAACGAATGGCGTATGAACCAATCGTTGGTCACCGGCTACCATGGGACTGCATCTCCTTACGATGCCCCACTGCCTTGTGGGTTAGACCCTTAGGTCAAAGGCTCGGGGAGTGGCCCCCTAAGAAAACCACCTGCTTCGGTTTGGGCACCCGGGCAGTATCACAGCCCAGACACAAATGATGAACTCTTTATGTCTATGGAAATTACTTTTGTCGCTTTGAAAAACAATCAACTGATTCAAATTATGATCACTACAATTATTGTCATTATTAATACTAATATCATTATTACTACTATTATTGTCATTATTGTTATTATTATCATTATTATTATTATTTTCCACATTATTCACCTTCTTTTATACTTATACAGCGGCTCGTCTTTGGTGGAATTCCGACTGTATCTAAACGTTTTCGAGTCACTGTTCGGTTGAAAATTGTATGTTACCACCGAATACGAGGACTGAAGCAGATTTTCTGAAACCACGTGCACCATTCAAACTGGCTGCCTTCAACGTTCGCACATTTATGCAGGTCGGACAACAGATAGGGTTGGCTATGTCTTTGGAAAGTCTTAATATCGACGTGTGTTATCTATCCGAGACCCGTATTCAAGACTCTGGCGAAGTACTACAAATTCGATCTCCATCTGTCGCTTCGAAAAGCTTGTTTCACGTGCGCTTATCCGGGGACCCTGTGGCATCTTCGTCTGGTCTTGCTGGCGTTGGTGTCGCACTAAGTGCTAGAGCTGAGACAGCACTAATCGATTGGATCCCCATTAACAGTCGGTTATGTGCTGTTAGATTAGAAATTTCCATCAAAGTGAGGAGAAATCGGCGTGAGAAACGATGTCTTTTCGTCATCTCCGCCTATGCAACGACAGATTGCAGCCCGGATGCAATCAAGGATGAGTTTTACCACCAGTTATCTGTTCTTCTCCAGAAAGTGCGTTCGACAGATATTGTACTACTAGCCGGAGACTTGAATGCTCAGGTCGGGCGTCTAGGCACAGGAGAGAGTCGTCTAGGTGGCCGATGGGGACTTGTTGGTCGCAGAACAGATAACGGGGACCGTCTACTGCAACTTTGCACAGACCACAACCTGTTTCTGGCTAGCATCAACTTTCGGCACAGTCATCGCCGATGTGCCACTTGGCGTCCTCCCTCTGCATCTCAAGCCTGTATTCACATCGCGATCAGCTACCGCTGGCGTGGTTGTGTACAAGACTTCCGCTCCTTTTGGAGTACCTATCTGGACTCTGACCATGCCTTGGTCTGCGCCAATCTTGCCTTACTTTTCAGTGGACAACGAAGTGAACGCCATCAACGGATTGATGTTAGCAAGCTGGTTGCAACTTCTGTTGCAAGTAAGTATCGAACCGAGCTAGTTTCTAGGTTAGCTACCACTCCACCGAAAAGTATAGATGAGCATTGGTTGCAATTGCATGACGCCATGAAAATGGCGGGAACAGTCAGTTGAGGGTTTGCGAAACGTCCCGCTTTTAAGCACTGGGTTTCTTCTGGTTCCTTACAACTCATTGAAGCCCGTCGGTCTACTCCGGGTGACCGTGAGTTTGACCACAAACGAAGGATTTTACGTAAGGAAATCGGGCAAAGCTTGCGTAAGGACCGAGAAGCCTGGTGGTCGATGCGTGCTAATGAGCTGGAAGCAGCAGCTGCATCTGGTAACTACCGGAAGCTCTTCCAACTCATCCGAGCCACTGGCAGCAAGAAGTCTGGTGTGAGTGAAACAATCTGCGAGGATGATGGGATGCCAATCACTAACATCCATCGACGTCTTGGACGATTGGCAGAATTTTTCGAAGGGCAGTTCAACTGGCCTGCTGCTCCGGCAACATCGGTCAGACTGTCCAGTCCTCCATGGCCAGTGACGACTGATCCACCAAATGAGGCGGAAGTCCGCAAGGAACTCCAACTCTTGAAGCGCTACAAGTCACCTGGCTCAGATGACTTACCTCCGGCTCTTTTTAAAGATGGTGGTGACTTTCTGACTAAGGAATTGACGACGTTGTTTACAAAGGTTTGGGAACTAAAGAGTGCACCAACGTCATGGAATGAGTCGATAGTTGTCCCTATCTTTAAAAAGGGTTCACGTCGTTCTTGTAACAACTATCAGGGGATAAGTTTACTTCCGATTGCGTCCAAGCTATTGGCTTCCGTCATTCTTCGTAGGTTGTTCAAAACCCGAGAAAGATTGACTCGCGAGGAGCAGGCTGGGTTTCGTTCTGGTCGAGGATGTATTGATCATATCTTCACCCTCCGCCAAATGTTAGAACTCTTATACTTATCCAAGGCCAACAATCGTAGTGTTTCTTGACATCAGGGCTGCCTTCGATTCGTTGGATAGGACTGTTCTCTGGGATTGTCTATTGAAGAATGGTGTGCCTGAAAAGCTTATTAACATCCTAAAAGCCCTATATACAAACACCTCAGGCAGAGTGAGGGCAAACAACCACCTCTCTCCATTGTTCCATTCGAGCAGTCAGGTCAGAGAGGGTTGCCCAATCTCACCATTCCTCTTCAACTTTGCCATCGATGACATTCTGGAAACAGCTCTGATGGATGTAAGTAATGGCAGTGTGGATCTGTTGCCTGGAGAAAGACTTATCCACCTTGAGTAAGCGGACGATATTGTTTTACTGTGCGATAGTGCCCAAGCCATGCAATTCGCACTTAATCAGTAGGCAATCAGTGTTCGTAGGTATGGTATGTGCTTTGCACCTTCGAAGTGCAAAGTACTTCTACAAGACTGGCAGGATTCAAATCCTGTACTCACCCTGGACGGTGAGCAGATAGACGTAGTTGAGAAGTTTGTGTATCTGGGTAGCTGCATAAGTGCTGGTGGGGTGTGAGTGATGAGATCAATGCACGAATAGTGAAAGCCAGAGCGGCTTATGCCAATCTGGGCCACCTTTGGCGCCTTCGTGATGTTAGTCTGGCTGTAAAAGGCCGGATCTACAACGCGTCGGTGAGAGCAGTTTTGCTCTATGCTTGTGAAACCTGGCCTCTCCGAGTTGAGGACGTTAGACAACTCTCTGTGTTCGATTATCGCCGTCTCCGAAGGATTGCTGACATTCAGTGGCAACACCATGTCAGTAATGCAGAGGTTCGGCATCGTGTGTTCGGGCACAGAGATGATAACTCAATTGGTGTCACCATCTTGAAACACTGACTTCGGTGGCTTGGACATGTTCTACGAATGTCGTCCCAGAGAATTCCACGTCGTGCATTATTTGCCGACTCTGGGACTGGTTGGAAGAAGCGGAGAGGTGGTCAGTGCATGACATGGTGTCGTGGCATGAAAGAAAGCTCCAAAGGACTGGCTTGTGTTGGTCCTTCACGACTCCCTGGTTGTGGTCCGAGAGATGGTGCTACACGGTGGCTAGAGACGTTATCAGATATGGCTCAGAATAGAAGCCAGTGGCGATCCTGCTGTAACCTTCTTTTACTTTCTTCATAAAAAGTGGTTGTGTCTCCTTTACCTGAAAGATTTCTTCTGATTGTACCTCTTCGTCATTACTCTCTTTTTCTTTTGCGTTCCTTAGTTTTTTTTTCTTTCTACTTCTCTTCGAATTCCCATTGTTTTGTGTGGCGCATATATATTGGCGCTCTCTTGTACCAATATTTATGTGTTCAAATAAATAAATAAATAAATAACTCTAGACTACAGACCCTACAGGAATTTTAAATCTTTTTTGCTGCCACTAATTAATGCAGCTACATCAAAAAAGAAATAAGCAGGATATTCTGGAAAACCCCGATGACTATTGGGTTATGTATATTTATATACTTTAAGGATTGTGGTTTATAAGTGACGATAGTTATTACAATTACTGTGAACAATAATCTTCTAAACAATTTATTACTTCCTGGAATTTGTCCGCCTAAATATGTAGCAATGTTGTAATGAGTCGTCATCAGAAAGTGTGGAAAAGCGTGCAGACAACTGGTTGAGACCACTTCGAAGATAATAATATAATACAGGGGAAAGAAATGTGTGTGAATATGTATATACTACAAGTGGGTTTTCGCCATTTGAAACGCGAAAAATCCAAATCCTGCTAAGACAGTCGCTGCTAATGTCCATTTCCACGCATGATCCGTTTGCGCTAATTCAAATCCGCGGTAATGCCTAAAAGTAGACATTTTCCAACAAAAAATAAGCATCAATATAGTAAAGCATATACATTTATTGTATTAAATTTGAGAACTACACTTGTATAGACAATACTACGTCTTACAGTACTGGTAACTGTTAAAGCTAGCCAATGAATAAGCAAATTCATGTGATAATTCTTTGTTTGTTGCTCGCAAACTTTTGACCTTATTTTGTTAGCTATCATTAAACGTCGGAGTAGACGGAGGTTAGATATGCGTAATATATTCCAAAGAAATTCTTAGGTTCAGTATCATGTACTAGATAAATATGACAAAACGGTTGACGTGAATGTTTATTGACTGAAGTAGCTGCAACGAATTATATGCATAATTGATTGATCACTGGGTGGTGATCAATGTCGTGTTTCAAGTCTTTCTTAGTGCAGATCGAATGTTATCGATCAAGTTGCAATATGGACATTAGTCTAGGTGACTCGACACTGCGTGCACTATGTTGAAATAAGATGTTTGTAGGTAGTCAACAAGAAAACCTGGACCCGGGTTTCGTGCTACTTGGCACTCGTCAGCATGGTGTACCTGTAATCTTGAGGGAACTGGTGCTCCCTGACTTGGTCGGTAGCATTCAATTTGCACTAATAAGGACTTGACACACATGACATTGGTCACCACCCAGTGATCACTCAATTGTGATTACATATCAGTCCTACAGGAGGTAGGACGCTGCCCGGAAAGACCAGTGGTAACATCCCTAACTTTGAAGTTGGGTGACACGAGATCGAATCCGTCAGGGAGCACCAGTTCTCTTAAGATCACAGGTATACACGTAGCACGAAACCCGGGTCCAGGGTTCCCTTCTGACTACTTCCAACCACCATCTTACGAATTATATGCGCCTGACCATCATTTAGCTTTGCGAGTAATCATGATTAACATAAGAGATTGGAACAAACCTAAAAGCAAACAGACCAAGACATGCCATCAGTTAATGAATTCATTGGTTGTTGATCTGGGTCATGTCAGGAGATATGAACTTATTAGTCAATATTTTATGAACACAGGGAATCGTGAATAGCACTAAACATCTATTTTGTATCATGTAACATTGGTGCGATAACATCAAGAAACATAAAGTACGCATTTGTATCTACTAAACTAATCAACTTACGGATAATTTGCCATTGTACACAACAATATGTATACAGAACAAAAATCTGGTTCAGTCTGACTTTTTAAATTACGATTAGTATTATTATATAAATCGGAACGTGAATGATGTCTGCTACGTGATCCATTCGTAACCAAATGTGAACTATCACAAACACCATTCAATGAATTTTCTAACGACGTTGAGTCATGTGAATTAAGCAGTGATCGATTGACATTATTTGTTAATGTATTACCAGTGATTGAAGATCTATAAATAGGATCGGCTGAACCAGCACGTCTTCGTGTCGACGGTGTAGCAGTATTGGTACCATCAGGTTCATTACCACTACTAGTATTAGTAGTTTCAGCAGTAGTAGCATCAGGTAGATGATTGAATGAATTATTTAGTGGTGAGTAATTTTTACGTTTTGGTAATAAATAAACACTAGAAAATGATTCAATTGGTGGTAAGTGATATTTAGTTATCATTTCACTAGGATCAATTTGATAATTTTGTATGACATGTGATTGGTCAGATTTGGCAGCAACAAAAAGACATGGTACTCGGGTCCCACGATAAAAATTCTAAAGAAAAAAAGAAAGTTTGTTGAATAACACTGTCAAAAATTATGACAATAAACTATTGTGTTGTATGGTGTCTAATTTTGATACTAATACACGATCTTCCTATACACAACCGGAACCAGTTATTTGGATCAGAACGAAATTACTTGGATAAACCGATTCAGGAATATATGTACATTTATATATATAGATATATACCTTGGGAAGTGAAGTTATCAGTGGTGTATGTCTCATCCCATTGAAGTGCAAGCCGTTTATTGACCAGTCGCATGCATTTATTCATTTGGTGGGCATACAATTGTCTCAATATACCACAAACTTCATTAACAATTAGTCTGTAAAATAAAAATTGACGGCTGCAGTACACATAATATGAAGTTGATAGACCCCGGTTACTTCTTACTCGAACGACATTATTTACGGTATGACATTTATTGTTAGCAACTCACTGAAGGATGTTGTATGTCGTAGTTTTTACATATATTTGGTTTTACGTATATTTCGCATTACATTGACAACTAACTAAGACTTGCAATACATCATTCTGGGTGTAACAACATTAGCTCAGCTTACTTGATGGTTGAACAAGATGTAGATGGTATTTCAAGGATATAAGTAGTCATAAACCTGAATATTGGGAGAGAATGCTACTCAGCACGAAGCTTAACTTTAGAAAGAACACCAACATCTTTTAGACCAAAAATGATCGTGTAATGTGGTGAGAAAAAGGATCAAATTTATTCTGTTCAGATTGATAATCGTAACAATGCAAATACCGGACACAATGATTTTAATCGTATTCATACATTTCTGACTAATTTTTATAACGTGACAACTAAAAATTTGATAGACGCCAATCTCATTCAGAACCAATAACTTGAAAGTCATTCAAAATGTAGTCTGTAAAACCTATAGTTGTAAAGTCTGTTGTTAAGAATTGTTTATTAGTCATCTATACACTTGTTTATTAAATGACAATTAAGTCAAAAACAAAGTAATAAACTTACGATCAGAAAAATTACATCTAAACTGTACTATGTTATCAAGTAATTTTTAGTGGATGGGTTCGAGTCCCGGTGTAAATACTCTGGGATATGGGTACATCCACAGCTGGAGATTTTTAAATGCGAAGGAACGCGCGTATTGGATTTCACTGCTAGCCGCATTCCACCTGCTGTATATTAACTTGTGTCATAATACCTATATTGAGTGAATTCGCACAGAATTCACAAATATTTCAACCAGCAATAATCAAATCTAAGTCAAAATATCAATAACCAGATAATTTGAACCATTATAAATTAAACTTAACTGATAAGTCTTCTAACTGAACGCTCGGTTCGATTACCTAGCCACTTTTAATAACCCCAGGCTAAATCAATACAGGAGCTTGGACGCAAGAGAAAAGGTAACGCGGTACCTGAAGGTTTGTTTCTGTACGGAAAAACAAGAGTTTAAAATATTCCAAACGGCTTCAGGCTTCTAGGAGTTTCTGGAACTATACTAAATATAGTAGCGGCATAGGTAATTATTAAATCAGAAACGTGACTCTTCACTTTCCAGATATTCCAGAGAAGCTTCTATTCAACGCTGATTGTATAAAATGTTTCCCAGCGTTTTCTAGGTGCCTATGGACTTTACCGAGGAATACCTTGGATCTCCCCAAACATTAATGAATTATGTTTTTTTGTTAACACATGAAAAAATATTTATAAACAGAAAACTTACAAGGAATATATTTGCTACATAACGAAATGACTCTGCATCTGAAACATCATACACCAAACAGGCAACATCTACTGCTAATGCTTCATTGGCTGACATTTGTTCACCCGCACTAGCACTGATCTCATGCATTAATAAAGTTCTTGACTGACCATAGACAGGAACACCTGATGCAGCTACCCAATTTGATGTACGGCCAGTTATACCACCGATACCGGTACCACCAGAACCGCATAAACTACGGCCAAGTAGGCCTTGCATTAAACATGTCTACAATGGAAAAAATGCACAACTGAACTAATACATATGGTCATTATTACTAAGAATGAAACATGGTTATACAATATCGTGAATTGATTGGAATTAGAAATGAAAACAATTGGATACAGATTCCGTGATCTACAGACCAAGTGCTCTTGTCGCGAAACTTGAAAGAATCTAGGTTTGATCCCTAGTGGGGTCGTGGATGCGCCCTGCTAATGAGTCTCATAATACGATAAAACAGCTGTTCGGTGTCTCCTAGTTGTCTAACGAAGACCAACATGTGGCGTGAACTGCAGAAAACGATCCAGTTATTGTCAAGTGTTAAATAATTTGTATTACTCGTGGCAGTATCATGAATTTATTGTCGACCGATAATAATTTAGCCTATAGGTAAAATAATTTAACCGTGACATTTCTAAATACAATGTTAAGGAACAACTTTAATGCTACTGAGACTAATTACATATTCATTTTACAGTCCACCATAGTCTTACATTTGATACAGACAGAAGAATATATTGGGTTAGTGATTCACCCGTTTCTGAAATGAATTATATCTGTCATTACCTTCTTTTTCTTCTAAATACAAACATCTAGCTAATTACAACTGATAATCAGTTGTTTATAGTAAAAGAACAGTAAAACACTTTATCTTATTAATCAATACATTTATTGGAAATTTCTAAAATTTCAGCGTTGAACAGTTTTTATGTCAGAATCACTTATCAATCTTCATTACACACACACACACACCAAACAGTTTCTAAACACTTATGATATGTATCTATGTAATAAGTTCAGATTATATTACAAGAGAAAATTATCCTAAGCAGAACTCATTTAATTCTCTATGTGAAAATTATTAATTAAATATCAGTTTATGAAATAATTCAATTAGAGATTATGTTAAAATTTCTCATGAACAATAAAGATCACTTCTATGATCATTCAGATCAAAACGTTCTATAAGTTTTAGATTTAATATTCAGTTATCAGTTAGTCAATCGTAATAAACGAGATACAATTTGCCAAGAATATATGTATAGGTGGCCCAAGTTGCAACATTTTACATTATCATCATTATTATTAACGTAGTAAGAGAGGAATATAATCAAGATGAACAGAAAAGGGGTTCAAATAATAACAATAACTATGGCAACAGAATACAGAAAAATATATACTGATAAGTTAATATTTGAAAGAAGATCAAGCATGAAAATATCTGCATTGTTACAGGTTACACCCAATGATTGAATTCGAATATGAAGCTAAATTCACTATTTAATTTTCCATAGATCTTGAATTCCAGTACACATTTAGAAATACGTTTTCAATCGTTCTTTTCAAACTGTATTGCTTAATATATGATCTTTCTCGATATCACCGCTACTATTTTTTCACTCAATTTTGCCAATTTTATCGCGTTGTACCAATTCAGTAACAGAACTTGAGCTAAAGCACATTTGCACTAGGTTCTAAAGTGATTGACTAACTGACTGACAGAATATGTGGCTGACTGGTTCCAAGTTGAATGTTTAGACGAGCGATCGACATTTTTAAGAAGAAATCAGTTCAGGAAAGCAATGACAGCTTACAGATACATGCACTATATGATCAGTTAGTAACAATCAATGTTATGTTGTATGGTTATTTGTGTTAATCGAGTTCGATCAACTACGGTGAAATGCATGAAATAAACTAGGTGGCGTGATACCGTGACGCCTTTATTCGACGATAGATAATTGGAAGCAATCAACAGGAAGCTCCATACTTAGGTTTTCCCGCTACCTAAAACTGATTAACGAGGTTCATTAACAATGGTGAGGGAAATGATACTATTTGTTGGATTGCGAACGCATGGTAACTAGTATTAAAACAAGATATATCGCCAATAAAATGTTCGATTACTTTCAAGAGGGGAGAAAATCAGACTGAAATTTCTCAATGTCTTACAAAACGTTTTCTTCTAAAAATAACTCGTTAGTGAGATTACAGCACAAATTAAGCTCAAGAAGGAAAAAAGTTATTCTAAAAGTTTAGTGTAAAACATAAATACACTAACAATCATACTTACTTTCCCCACTTTACGAGCTCCATAAACCCGACAATAGAATACAGTACGCTGTGTTGAACGACGTATAGCATCTATACGTCTATCATTAGTAATTATAATTGCTCTTAATAATGCTTCATTTGCAACAGTCATACTACCTGATGTTTTACTTAAGTCAGAACGATGTGAAGCAAGTAGTTGTGATCCAGTTAAACCGGACGTCTTGTGTATTACTGATGACGATGTTAATGATGACATATTTGTATTTGTTTGTTTATTTCCAGTTGGCATAACGCTATCATAATGATTATAATCACCATTCACAACGGATGGCCATAATGATCCAGACTCATAATAAGTGAAGCCTAAATAAGCGAAATATTCAAGCAGTCGATTTGGTTCGAGATAAGCTGTCAGCCTATTACATAAAGGATAGAAAAACAAACAAAAAAATATATGCAACATGTTGAAACGAGAATTCAGAACCATTTCCAGTGGAAAAATATTGGTACACCACTTTTGTAGGAAGACAAATATAACTTTATAGTTTGCATCACAGATTGATATGATTTAAAAAACCATTAAAAACTAGGAAGCACTGGGTAAATCTTTCACCCAAGTACGAGACTCATCAACAAGGTGCATCAATGACTTCATACAGAATCAAACCCAAGACATTTAAATCCTACAAAGAACGTTTAATCTCTAGACAGCTGGGGTAATATCCCATTTTTTACAGGTTTAGCTTTCCTAAACTCGCGAAATTACCTAACCATTTTCTAATATCACTAGTGAGTAACGGCCCCGTACCCGATAAGACTGAACTCCACTGGTCATGGTTTCTTACCAGAACTCCAGGAATCATCATTCAAAACCAGTCACCCGTGAGCATATGATTATTGTTACTGTAGGAATTATGCGCTTCCTAGTTTTCAATGTTCGTCTAACAAAGACCAATCAATGCTGTACACTATAAAATTCAACTATCTCCACAAATCCTCTGCAATAAAACAAAAAGAAATAATCAATAGTGAGCGTCGAAAAATCCACAGACCAGGATTTTTTATTCTGTTATCTAATATTAATGATGTAGAGAGATTATGTGAAAGAATTTCTCACCGAAAAAAATCAATAGATAACCACTGTGATACCTTTCCTCAACGTTCCTAGGACCATTAGTTGACAACCAATACGCTTATTATTAACACAATCATAGTGACTGGATATGAACTTTATTCTATATGACCAGGGTGTGTACTCTCGTTCAATGTGACAATTATATTCCCTGTATTAATTCAGGTGAACTAAATTTAATTTTGTTTTTTTACAGAATTTCACCCTATGTGATATCATGAAGTGTGTATGAAAATTAGTCTATAAATGATTGTATTTCCCAGGTTGAAATCATGAGTCAGTTGAAGCTAGACCACCATTGAAAGCCTGGAAGCACCGGACGGCCGTTTCGTCCTGGTATGGGACTCCTCAGCAGTGCGCATCCACGATCCCGCACCACGCGGGGCTCGAACCCAGGACCTACTGGCTTCGCGCGCGAGCACTTAACCACTAGACCACTGAGCCGGCATCCAACGGTGTTCATGTCTAACTTCAACTAATCCACGAAATCGCGCCACCGTACACCATTGTCTTCAGTGAGTTGTTATCTCACAACAGACCGGTTGAACTCCACTGGTAACGGCTTCTCACTAGAACTCCAGGAGTTTTTCTTGAAGTCAGTCACTAATGAGCAGTTGATTATTATCAGAATGGGTTTTGTGGAGAGTTTTAGACATTTCACAACTTCAGTGGTCTAGTGGTTAAGTCCTCGCGCGCGAAGCCAGTAGGTCCTGGGTTCGAGCCCCGCGTGGTGCGGGATCGTGGATGCGCACTGCTGAGGAGTCCCATACCAGGACGAAACGGCCGTCCAGTGCTTACAGGTTTTTAATGGTGGTCTAGCTTTAACTGACTCATGATTTCAACCTGTGAAATGTCTAAAACTCTCCACAAAACCCATTCTGATTATATTTCCGTCTAATGACAATATGATTTTGGGACTTATTTGGAGAAGTCTTGTTTGTTGAGTCTGTAAATCTTCATTGTATCAGTTTTCCGTGTGGAGTTTTGAGATGAAAAACTAATTGAAAAGTAATATTTCTTTATTCAGCTTGTGTTTTTAACTTTTTAATACACTGAAATAGCAATGTGTTTAGTCGGTTAACTGTGCAGTGAAGAGGAATTTAGACAAGTGATAAAACAGAAAAAGAGATAATCATACTGAAAACCTATGATTAGTCGCAGTTATTGATTTAATAAATTTACCAAAGCATGGTCATGATCTTATAAAACTGAAGAAGTAATGATAAGGCAGTGAAGGAAACAAATGATTTTTATCTTTATTATGTAGTTTACATAATCAGATTTAAGACAGCCTTTAGGTTGGAAGGTCAATAGTGTTTATCACTCGACTGTACAGAACAAAGTGAGATGGAACTATTGAAAATGACAATCAATTTGATTGGGATTTGAGTGTTTTGAGCACTAAGCGCCGTCGTACTATCTTCGTTAAAGTAAAGTTCCATTAGTTTAAAATGTTTGCTCGTTGCCAAATAAAGCCAAAAGACAAAACAAAATTACCGGAGGACTGTATTGTGGGTTCATAATCGAGTAATGAAAAAACACGATACCGTGTTGTCATGTTTTTTAAACAAAACAGAACAATATAATATTTGAAATCTGGTAGCTGAAACTTCAGATATCACTAATCTATTGTTTAATAATGGGTCTTTTGATTGACGATTCAATTAATCTAATGAAATAACACCTCGGATTTCCACGGAAAGAAGTACACACCGAACATGCTTGCATTGTTGCTGAAAAAGATCAGAAGACACTGGATTTTTTTTTCATCAAAGACGACTACGTTGTCCGCGTATTTAATTAAATAAATGGACTTCTTTTAAGAGTTCAATCGCTGAAGAGTTAGATGAACACAAGGCGGTCTTTAGGACGATATCTGCGACATTAAATAGGAAACCCTGATAGACAAAACTTTACGTTGGCAATTCTGGTGATAGTTCGGGGTAAGCTCTAACTAAAACCAATAGTTACTTGGTAGACAGAGCTCACAAAGTTTGTGTACTTATTTGATATACCCTTTAGTGACAAAATCACTGTCAAAGAACCTCTCGATCAACGAATCGAGGTGATGAATTTGTTCATGAAACCAAACAGATATTCCACAACCGAACCCCACAAAATGAGTATGCCAATGCATCTATTTAGAATTCAAAAATGTGATTTAAGTGAAAAGTATTCAGTTAAAATATCATTACTATATGTTACCTATCAGTTAACAGATCAATAATCAAGGATGGGAACGAAGGTCATTTAATTATTCTCATTCCAACCGATCACAAAAAGTGCCATAAAAATAAAACCCAGAACAATATAAATTAATTATTTAGCAAATAACACCCACAGCCATTTATTATAAATTGTACTTTAGTTAAACAAGTGAATTATTTTATTAGTTTCTCTAGTTTATATAGAGGTACAAAAATGGGTTTTTTTTGGAAAATGCTCATTATTCTTGAACAAAAGACTTTGTCCCGAAGTATTCATGCATACCTAAGGATATATGAAACAAATATGAATAGAATGCTTAAAAATAAAGTACACGGACAATTCCTAATAACCAAACTTTTAGTTTATGACATTAGTATGTATGTACAGAAACCAACAAAGTAGGCTTCCTCAAACGAATCTTAATGTCATCAGTGCCTACTTCAAGTAGAAGTGAATTTAGAAAATATAGTTCATCAGCGAATAAATTAGTTCTAGTGTATTTGATATGCAATTAAAAGAGCAGTCCAGGAAGTGCGTTGCGTCTCATTTAGGACCCGTCAGCTGTGAACGTATGTACCTACTCGCATCCCTATGTTCATGTTAATGTTCACACTGGGACTCGAGCCTAGAACTCTTCAATTCAAACGCTTGATGTGTTCTTTACTGGTCCTGAGTCTAAATAACAACTCTTTGAACGAATACGAAAGCGTTAGCAAAGGCGTGTATGATGTGAACAGAGAAACAAGAAGCTTTGACAAACTACGGAAGCTATTTTTCGGGACGTTATCTCAGTTAATTTAAAGCTTGTAAAACATTAACATTTATTTTTGTCTCTGGTTTATTCTACAGAACATAAACTTTCGTTTGATGTATGATTCAGTGCCATAGCCCTTTTTGTTCCAAAGCTATTGTAATTTAAACGTATTATTCTGTACTCTATTTTCTACGTTAATCCCCAGTTTTGGACATAATTGTATTTTCCTAAATATTGTACGTTGTGGTCAGGTTAGCAATCTATTTATTCATGTGCCTTCTTACACGAATCTGAAATCGGGAACCAGATCGGAATTGAAAATAAATCGAGTAGTGTTCCAGTTATCTTGTCTTCTCTCGCTCGCATGCTTGCCAGCCAATCAGGTGTTAGAATAGCCTTCTTCTCTCTACCCGACTTCGAACTCACGCGTACTAGCCTCAAGGTTAAGCCAGTCTCGATATAACGTTATATTAAAAAGAGTTCATCCTTATGATATTGTCCAGAATGACAATAAACTCTTTTCAATTAAACTAAAAAACAGAGAGAACTCAATAGGATACCCACAATATCCATTTAAACTACAATTATTCTCTATCGTTATAAACATTGATTCAAATCAAATTTTAATATGTTTACACATTCTTTTAAAAAAAATATGAAGTTTAATATTGTTTCATTACAACTTATTAACAGGTTTGGGAATATCTATAACCTAAAGGAAAAACTTGTACTTAGTCCCAGTTTCACGCTTGCTGAAGATCACGAATGAATTATAATTATCTATTCACATATAACTTGGAACAAATAAATACTTCAATATATTTGCATTCAACATTGAATTATGAAATTTATAGGAGTTATTTATTGATTAACCCATTTCTTTGATGCACAATTGACTAATTATTCGCGACTAGAATTAATGTAAATGAATTATACATGAAATATAAATCAGAAGGAAAACTATAACTCATTTGTATTAATCACACTTAAAAACTTAAATACAACTTACTCACTTGAATCCCCATGTAATAACGGCGGTTAAATGTAATTGCATAGTAAACACACACACACACAACATTTAAGAAAGATGATGCCGATGGTTTCAACGAGAAAAAAAGTAAATCAAGGGTACTCAATATCTCTCTATTCAGTGTACAACTTACATCCAAAATGCCATAAATCCTTGACGTGTAGCCCAACCCATAGAATTTGTTGCTACGTATAAACTCATATCAGTTACATGGTTTAATTGATCCTCTGGACAAGTAGCAAGTAATTCACTTAATTCTGCTGTAGACAAGCATCCATCTCTATCCTATATGAGAAATAAAAAAATATGTATATATGGAGATGAAATCAATCATACAACAAATAAACGAGGTTATTTTTTATATTACTGTTAATCAAGATGAGGTTAGTGGAGTCAAATAAGAACTATACTGTTTTGTGTATGTATATATGTATAGAAGTCATGGGTTAGGATTACTATCTGGTTACTAGTTATGTCGAAATCGGTTTAAAGTTGAATGATTTAACCATTAATTAATTCATAGGCTACTTCAAAAATACAACAAATAGTTTTCTAAGCGAATTAGAACCTTGGCATAAAAATAAACAAGCATGGACACCCAGGTTGTATAATCCTTACCCATAAGTTTTAACACAATTTCGACTAATAGTTTTATAATATACATTGCGTGTACTTTATCATGTTGCTGTTTCCAATTTCGCTCTCTCAGCTGGGTGGTTTGGCTATGAAGCTTTTATTGCCTGTCTGGACAATATCATCAAAACATACGTCTCTTTAAACTATATGCTGATAAAGTTGTCTAGAAAGATGATGAAAGCTTCACAGTTAAACCATCCAGCTCGAAGAACACAACACCGCCAAAATCCACATTCTGAATTACAAATATTCTGTATCATCTCATTTCGAATTTATAAAAAAAACTGGTGAAATGTTACCATTACTTATGTGTAGATTTCGATAAGTTTTGTATAAATAATAATTGAAGTTTGTTAAGAATTAGACACCAAAACGCGTAACAATAACAAGGAGTGAATTATATAACAGCAGAACTTACCAAGTCATATTTATTAAATAATGTGTTTAAAAACTGTATCCCCACAGGTGATATTTCTGTACTGCATCCGGAAGCAATGGAAAATCTAGTAGAAATAATAAATAATTAATTGAAATTAGAGAGATACAAACATACTAATTAATTTATTCGTTAAAAAATAGAAAAGATTTCCTTGAATTTATTGAGTGATTATCTCTCGGTGAACAGAAATCTATTTATATGAATGACATGATAGTTTTGTAGATAGTAAATGGACAGTAAGTGATTATCAGTGGAGTAAAAAAAGGATTGTTTTGTGTTGTGTGGGACTTGTCATCGGTCATAGGTTATATGTTGAAGATATAACAGTAAATAACTTTCTTACAAGAAACGTGAAAACGTTATTGTTATATCTAGAGCTTGTATTCTTGCTGTACCGTGTACAATCTGAGCACTTAAATGCCAGAACCCTCCAAGTAACATGCTAGAAGACAGAAGAACAGTAGGAAGGAATCTTATTCCAAACAGTGTCAAATATGGTATAAAACACTCAGGTATTTATAGCTTTTAGTAAAAATAAAATCATCATTACAGTCATCCAATCCACATGCAGTGATTTTCAGCAACTGTCCAATCGGGAAGCTACACATCGAGATCCTGGAATGTTCTTCCAAAAGATGACTGGATGGAATGTCTTTGGCTCTTTCAGAGATTCTTAGAGGTTCTTTGAGTTCGCTGTGGGCTGTCCCTACAATTTTGTAAACCGCTTTATTTTTTTGTTATTCGCATTTGAAGTAATGTAACCGACGAATCGATATGATGATAAAGACGGAATCACATTACATCAGAATACTAAGTAAACTATATTTTACATCCAATGGAGCGATTCAATATCTATAAACTCTTAGTTACAGCATCCCCGACTCTTTTTCATTAGTGAAACAATCTCATATCAAATCTCTCCATATGAATTACTTTACCAGCAAATTTTTCGAAACTCTGGAATAATTTACCATGATCTGTCTGAAATACAATCACTGGCATCATTTATTCGCTGCATCGATCCTTACTTCTCCTCTGAAAATGCCTTAGATGTGCTTACACCTGTATGTATATCCCATTCCACAGATGAGATTATAAGAACTTTAAACGTTTAATCGTTCTTATTACTGACTTCACTAAGTAAACCTACCTACTGATACTTTAAACAAACATCATCCTTGATTATCTTAGCTAATTTGGATAACATCTAACTCGATCGTATAATAAACCTGGTACATATATTATGGTAGATCTGACTGACCTATCGTAGTGAATATTGCTTTTGTTGTTCCATGCTCTTTATTTTCACTTTATTTTCTCTAGTTGTAGAAGAGTATGATCTTTTACTTTATTTATTATTTATTTGAACACATAAATATTGATACAAGGGGGCACCAAATATATATGCGCCACACAAAACAATGAGAATGGGGAGGAAAAAAGTAAGGAGCGTAAAAAAAGAAGGGAAACAATAACGACAAGATTAGTGTAAGGAAGTGTAATAATAATAATAATAATAATAATAATAATAATAATAATAATAATAATAATAATAATAATAATAATGGGGGAAACGGAAAGGTATAACCAGAAGAAATCTTTCAGTTAAGGAAGACATAACCACTTTTTATGAAGAAAGTAAAAGAAGGTTACAGCGGGATCGCCACTGGCTTCTATTCTGAGCCATATCTGATAACGTCTCTAGCCACTGTGTCGCACCATCTCTCGGATCCTGAAGGGCATTATCAATCCGTTATTGCACTGTAACTGACCTTAAATATATCGTTCATATATCAATAGGATATCCATTTAAAAAGAACTAATAGTTCCAGGCAAACGCCTTGCATTGTTGTAATACATGTGAAAAATGTAATACCTAAACAATATTTGAACTAGACTACTTCACACAATCTAATATCACATATGTCCCCCGCGTTAATTATTGCTATGTCTATCAAGCTGATTATGCCTGTATTTGACATGAACTTTGTTATTATTCTTTTCAGAATATATATTAGTATATAAAAAATATTTGAACGATACATGATGATTGGTCTAACAATAGTGTACATTAGGATAAAATTATTCAGACCATGTAACAACAGGATAAATCAAAAAAGAAGCTTCAACCTTATTGCTTAACACATGTAAATGTTATTTAACTCCTTCTTATAATAAAAAACCACGAGTTATTGCATAAGTGAATACATTCAGTTTGTTTTCAATTACGAATAACAATTTGACGAAAGCAAACATAAACATTAGTTGAATGTATCTTACTAGTCGAGTAGAGATTCATACTCTTAACTTTTAGAATGAGACATTTTTTATAAACATTAATAATAATACTATTCATTTACTGGAATTAAAGTAGATTGACGATATATTGGAATTTTTGTAGTCAACCATGGTAAGCAATCAACACCCGTTTGAGGTCAGCCCCAAATGTATTTACGAATTTACATGTACTTGTGAAAGGAAGTGCATAGGAAGGATTGAAAGAAGGCCATCGTACAAGATTTTCGGGACATATTCCTAATAAATTGTATTTAACAGCAATTAGTGTTTTCACAAGCGCGATCACTAAATATTCAATGAGTAATGGAAACGAAGCGGACGTCTTGAAAGTATTCAAAATAATTAGCAAACAACGCACACCACCTTTACTCCGCTTCACGAGGACTATTATCATCAATGACTTTTTTATGCAGAAAGAAAGTGTGGTAAATCTATCACTGTCATGGTAAGAGAGTTATATTATTTTAACACTATTCAGTTACATTATGATTGATGAAGAAATTCCACTAAACTTCATTATTCAAGACGTTAATTTTAATTTTGAGTTAAATAGATCCCTTGCTTATCACTAATTTGACAACAAGTTGCTTTTATTTATCGTCTCTTTTTTATCATTTATAACTTCATTCCCTTCTTTGCATCACTTCATCTTCAATACATAAAATACCAATGAATCTGAACTATTACATCACATATGTTGCTTTCTCTTCATGTTTCGTATATCGTTTCGAAATAAATTTCATTGATTACGGTGCATATAAATATTAATTAAGTAACTTTAGGTCGTAATAACAGATATTCAGCTGTCCTGAAACAGTGAATTCATGTAATCCCGTAGATCCTACTCACTTCGCTTTATTTAAACATACAATTATTATCAGTATAGCGCGAAACCGAATGTCCTGAATTCGAGTCTCGTGTATGGAATCGTGAATACGCACTGCCGAGAAGTCACTTACTAGAACGAGACGGTCATCCAGTACTTCCAGGTTTTCAATGATGATTTACCATTGATCGACTTATGAATTCAACTACAAACATACATTTAAGTTTTCAATCTTAGATTTATGCACAGATGATATTTATTGGATTTTAATGTATATTTTTCGTTGAATCATATAATTTGGAATTAATCAGTTAAATAAAAAAAACATGCACATTTTCACTGATTGAAATTACCCACACGTTTTTTTGCATCAGAATTTGTGTTTAGTCATATATCAGTAGTGAATGTTTTTAGAGAGAAAAAAATGCGAAAAACTTTAATCATGATTAAAAAATAATAAAAAGATCAAGAACTTTCTAAAAAAAATTGCAATTTATTAATGTTAGATCCCTTTGAGAATTAGGAATGGTAACTCTTGAGAACTATTTATAGACCAATATGATACGTATATTTTTATTGTATAATTGTTAAGTAGATAAGTTATAGATATTCATGTTCCTCTTATTAAAAGCTTTATTTTCACCTATAGATTACTATTATACGAATTACCGTTCTTCAGTTCTGCCTAGTCTACTAATTACAGTCTCTCACATTTACAGCCATTTTTGGTTAGATCTTATGCAAATATTTTATTTTATTTTGTGGTGCGATGTGGTCTATGTTTGAAATACATGATTCATATAGCAGAAGCTGAGATTGATGTTTTGGACTTAACAAGTAGGGCTGGGCAGGAAAAAAGACCGATTAAAACTCTAGACTGATCGTACGGGTTTATGCGTCATAGGTTCGGTCGACAAATCACTGTTTTCTAATTGGCGGCATCATTACGCTATATACTAATAGGGCACAAGGCCACAAGTTATAATAATTAAACTATTGAATAGTGGTGAAACAATGACTTAATTTATTAGGTTGAAACACATGGTTTTCAATGAATGAGTTGCGAGTTCAAATCTGACAGTTTTTTAAGGTGTCGTTTACTGTAAGCTGGACAGCTCAGTTGTGATGTTTTTACTGTCTTTTTTTCAGTATCTTAAACTTATATTTTAAAAAATTGGACTAAACAACTAATTTAACTCTTTATACGGTACAGAATCGTGTATTCAACTTTGAGCTATACTCATGACACGAAGGGTAACATGTTGCCCACACCAAAATGGAACACGGCCCGAACTTGCAGCTCAGTGGACAAAAGGTGAATGTCTTAATGATGCATCCTTCTACAATTAACCAATAAGTAGGTAATAGCACATGTTAAAAGTCCAGTACATAAACCTCTACATGATTATTAGCTGCTACTACTACTAGTAGTAGGTCACAGCACAGTGTCGAAAAGTAGCCAGTGAATGCTTTTCTTTTTTAAGAAAAATAGAAAACAACATACTTTGGATAGATAAACTGTTCAGATAATCTCATGTGATTACTATAACCAAATCTACGTAATACAGTCCATGTAGTCTCATGACGTCCTTTTTGTATAAACATTAAATGCAGGAAAAGAAATCCTAAAATATATATTTAGTAAATAAGAAAAAAGATGAAAAACATTTATAGTAGTAACAAGTACAATGAATACCAAAAGACCACTACTTGTTTGCATTAAATAAAGAACACAGCTGAAATAAGCTGTTATATACCTCTTGTAAATACTTAAACAGTAATTCAAGGAATTCAAGTCGGTTAGCAACTAACAGTGAACTTTAAGAAGTGCATTTCATCCTGTTTGGGGCTCGCCTGATTGGTTTGCCTGCACCCCAGTACTGGTGCTTACATTAAAACCCGGACATAATAATCTTTTGCCTCCAATGTCAGTGCATTATCTCCTGAGCTAATAATTTAAGATAGCTACTAGTTTATGTATTGATTATAAGCTTCATTGTAAGGGTTTGTATATAATAGTAACTCAGATCAACAAACCAACGTGTGAACTTTAAGTAATAAATGGTTTTCGAGAAGCTCGTTAGCTTATTAACCGTTAGACTAACAAAAACATCAATTACAGTTATTGAATTAAATGGATACTTAAGATATTGGGAACAAACAAAGCGTTGTCAATTCAGCAAATGTTTAAGACACAACCAAGAGTCTTTTGGATGAAGTATGAAAGCTTTACGCATGCTTCAAAGAGACAAACAGAAGTCGATTAGGATTTTTTGAATTTTGCACCATTACTATTTTCACGGCCAAATTAATCAACCGCCACTGTCGACATTTAAGTTCTCTGCGTAAATACCTTGATATTATTACCTAAGGTTTTTTATAGATTGAACTCAATCAAACTGATGAGAATTCCAGAGGGAATGAAACTGTTATCTTAAAATTTTTTTGATAATTTTTAATCCAAGCGGCTCAATTCTTACAAGTGATTGATCACTGAATAATGACCGAAAACATATTTGTCTAGTCGTCTTAATGCTATTCGAATTTATCGATGTAGTTGCAATCTGGCTACTATTCCAAATAAATCAAGATCGCCCATACTATGTTGAGGCGTTAGGTAGTTGGAGGAAGTCGGGAAGAAACCCTGGACTTAAGTTTCATGCCAGTTAGAACGTACCAGTAAGGCGTACCTGGAATCGTTATGGAAGTGATACTTTCAGCAAGAACCAAATGGGTCATCTATCTTCACAGTTTGGGACTTTGCTACTAAACGGGTTTGAGTCCCACAGAAACTTTAGTCCCCTTAATACTGCAAGTACAAATTGCTGGTAAGTGGCAACCTGTACAAAACTATGTCTAGGACCTCCCAGAGATTACTTCCAATCAACTAACAAGGTATATTTTAGTATAATTTCCAAATAATTACTCAGAGAATCTCTAGTGCTTCGAACCATACAAATTGTACATACGACTACATAAAAGACTGATATCCTAAAAAAACAAGAACATTCTTTTCTATACATTTAAATAAAAGTAATTAAATACACAAGTAGTGGTGACAAGCGTACCTTTAAATAAAAAGATGCATTTATTAACTAACCTTTTTGAGTTAATCCATTCACAGTAACACCACCGGGACATGATTGTTTAACCAATTGTTTCACATCATGTAATGATTGTGCTGTTAATGGAATAGAGAAGCAACGTGTCTGAAATGCTTCCAATTCACGGTCGGATAAATAACCATCATTGTCCGTATCACATATTCGAAATATTCTTGTTAAAGCACGTATACACTCTGGTGTAAGCTAACAATAATAATAATAAATGAGAATATTTATATTTGAATAAATACAGCGGCACATCAACCATTCGAAAAATTAACCATGAGACAATGAAACATGTGATACTCTTAACAATTATTATTATTGTACATAAAAAAACTTTTAAGGTCAGTGAGATAATTACAAGGTCTTTCACGTTTTATAAGATAAAGAAAAAAACTAAAAATATCACTAACGACTGTAGTTCAGTGATTTATTTAAACACGTAAACATTGGTACAAGGACACATCGAAAATATCTGCTCCATACTTCGCCATTTAATTTGTGTGAGGGCTGGAATACTGCCCATACGCCAAAACCGAAGCAGGTGGTTTTCTTTAGGGTTTATTCCCTGAGCCTTTGACTTAGAGCTCTAATCCAAAAGGCAGTAATACAACGGTAAATGAAATCCCATGGTAGCCGGTGATTAATAATAGAATCAAACGCCATTTGTTCCCCTGGATCCTGGAGCCCGTGTGCACCGTTCGTTTGGAATCAGAGTTTCCCAACTCCCTCAGGTGAACTCTCCGTGTCCACCAACCCGGTTACAGCGCCGGACATTCGCTATTCATTCTCTCAATTTGGTAAAAAAACACCCCCTTCGCGAGGATCCATTGAGTAGGACTTCCGTAGCAGTGGCTGTATATGTGTGGTCATGTGAGAGCAGACTTTCTCAATATTTGGCCGTACCAGGGAATCCGGGGGCAACGACGTTAGAATCATGTACAAAAGTACAATATTTCAATGTGTTAAAATTTACATTTACACATTATAAACACTGAGGTAATCGAAATAAAAACCTATTGGTATAACCAAGTACGACACGGATAGAGAGAGAAATATATAAATGAATAATATTCTACTTGTGTGGTCTGTCGACTGGAGTTAATGTGGACAACATAAGAAAGTTACACTAAACACTGAGGTAATCAGTTTACATATCATTAGTTTAGGTTTCACAAAGAAAAGCGGAACAATGTATGAAGATAGCCAAGACGTTAAAAAAGAACATGATGGAGAAGATTTGAATTTCAGTCGACTCCTTTTGGTACTTTTGGGTTCTCAACACGAGATAATCTAATTGCAAAGCTTTTATTGTCGCTTTGGACACCATCAAAGTTTACCCCAAGTATAAATGAGTTTTTAGTTATTCTATAAGTGTTCAATCAGCTCGACCTGATGGTCTTGTTTGTGATTGGTTGTTTTCGTTGGTTTCATTGTCTTTAATTGCTTTTGTTCAGTTAACCGTTGATTATGTAGTTGATTGATTTTTTCCGTATAGGTTGATAGATCAACTTCGGCTATTGAGATGAAGTGATTCAACACTTGTGGTATAACTATAAAGCATCCTCATACATGAAATAAGCCCTGGTGATGTTGGACAAAACGACAATGAAAGCTCCACATTTAGGCCATCTAGCTTACAAAGTTCAAACAAATATCAATGAAAAACATTTACTTACTTCTTTCTTTTCAGCATTATACAAAGGAGCAGTCGGATAAAGAACAGCTTTTTGAGCAAACCAAAATGTTTCACTTAAATTTAACATAGTTTTAGCTGAACACTAAAAAACAAGTATTTTTTTATAGAAAGAAAAAAATTATAAATAAGAGACTGGAAAGTTAATGAAAAATTGACAAGAGAATTAAAAAATATATGGAAAATACGAATTGAATATCAAATATCCTGAATATTTTGATACTAGTTTAAGGAACATGACTTATATGTGCCTGGTTCTGTGTATTGTAGATGACTGACTGACTGGCATGACTTAGAACTGATCGCAATGCTACAAATCCATTGACTTTAAGTTTCCCATTAGATTTCGAATTCAAAATTATCCTGTATATACGTTTTTTATTCTGCGAATTCATTTTTAAATTACAGCTTGCATTTTATGTAAATTGTGATTTAATTTGCTTGACAAATGTTCTAATTTCAACAAGAATTAAAATAAAAAGGAATTCTAAAAAATAAAGGAATTATGTATACACAAATGCATTTATTATTATTATTATTATTATCATTATTATTATACTGTACTACCTCGACTGGTGATGTTGTCTGGTATAGGAGTAGTTTGGGAGAAAACTAGAGGTGGCCAAATCAAGACGTGGTATTAGTCCATGAAGTTATTAACAATTGGATAGAGTCATGTAAATAGATATAGATCGCCCGATTAGGGTCCGCAGGATTATCTTAACCAAATTGGTTAGGGACTTTGGGTGACATTGCTCAGAATCCTTTGCAGTGATATAGGTGCACTCACCTCTTGTCGTCTTTTAGAAGCTGAGTCCTGTATTCTATTTAAACCTTATTTTATTTTCGTGTACCTAATTTTCTCCACTACTACTGTGATGTGTGCTATTGATGTTGACAGATACTAGTAGTATGTATCACCAGTCGAAAATGGAATGCCTGGCGGCGGAAGATTTAGAAGATCGAAGGGAAGAGAACGCAGAGTGATTAGTATGGAAATGAAGAAACAATAAAGTCTGAGACAATTGATGGACATTTTGCAAATGAAGTATATAGTATATAGTTCTTAGATTTTACTAAGAGATTCTGTAATTTTGTATTCAAATATATTTGGTTGTCCCCACTTGTGTTCTCGTTGACTTCACTACTACTGTTTTTACTCCGAAAACTCTGGGATTTTTCTTGATATGGTTTTTTCATATCCACACGAATAAATCCATCGGTGTCTCATATAGAATCACCTTGACCAAAAAATTCACGTAACATTAACATTGTCAAATCTATATGTATTTCGATTGAACTAAATATTTTTCCCTGTTCTTGTATACTACTTAAACTTGTGTTAGTTTGATTATTTAATTATTTATTTACCCTGAAGAAACAGCTTACATTAAAATACGAAATGTTAAAAATCCATATGTCTACTTATTGAAATATCACAAATATATCACTATTTCATAATAAACTGTCAATGGTTCTCTCCAACTGACACTAGCCCATAACAAAAACTGTGATTATTTAATTCTTATAGTTTTAAGGGCTATCAACAATGTACAAAGAAATAAAACGACAACCCGTTTCCCCACCACTACCACCTCAAATTGTACACATACCTCAATGCATGTTTCCACTTCACAGTATTCCGACATTAACGGGAGCATTTTCTGTATTTAAAAAAAGTTTAAATGATAATAACAACAAAATAAGTTCTGAAGTAAAGCTGTATCACTAAAGAGAATGTTTAATGATAACTTCCTAGTTAATGTCAATTATTAATTGAATCTCAATCACGAGTGATGATAGGGTTTCAGCTATGATACGTGTCTTAGAAATAAGAGCTACAAAGCTGAAAATCAGAATCTAGTTTGACTGGACTTCAAATTCTTAAACTGGTATTTGAAAGTTAAGTTGCCTACATTAAAATTTCAATTATTCCCGATGTTCCAGATAAAAGAAAGCTACTTATTAGTGAACTTGATCTATTTTTAAATAGCTATTATCTGAAAAATTCAATGCTTTCTTCAGAACTGGAGAACAAAGAATGATCTGAACAAGCAAGATGGAATTGCACCTAACTTCCATGCTGTAACCAATTTTCCAGTCGATCCATTTATTATTAATATTATCCTTATTATTACTACTACTCGGATCCAAATTCTAACAGACCCAACGAGATCTACTACTGATTTCCGCCGCTTCATATTACTTACGGCTTTCTCAATTTCGCTGATACCTGAAAATTTTTGATGTCAGTCTTCCATTTAAATTGATTATGGACACAGCGTGCAACCATAAAGTCAAGTTAAAACACCAGCCAAGCTATTCCTCTAGGTGCTATTCCTGTAGTCCCAGTCACTAGTTTATTGCTGCGGAGCAATATCAGGAGATGTAGTTTCATGGTAGCCGGCGACTAACAATAGGTTGATACTCCATTTGTTTCCTTAGGATCTTGTAGCTCATGTGTATCACTGGTTTAAAATCAAGGTTTTCCAACTCCCTTATTCAAATCCTCCGTACGCATCAACCCAGTTTAAGCGCTCGACATTCGCTCTTCGTCCTCTCAATTTCGTAAACAACACCTCCACTGATAGAAGGTAGTGGACAGGACTTATCTGACAGTGGCTATATACCTGCGGCCATACAAGCATTTGGATAGGTTGAGCGAACTCTATGAACCGCCAGCCGTACCAGGTTCGAACCCTGCACTACTTACTTCGGTTTGAGTAGCTGGAGACTTGAATAGGAACCACGCTATAATAGTGAGTGCTAATAATGCTACTTCATTGTGGAGAGGAGCTCGAGTCATTGGGTTTTTTTTGTTTTGCTAACTTATCTCACTAACATTAAACGACGATCGGCTATTTTTCTATCGAAACACAAATCGAACATACGCCTATCTTCTTTACAAAACCCATTTTTTCCACTGGCTCAGTAGATAATATAAGCATCCAGCAAGTACCCTTTTCTATTTACTAAAAATACTTTAGAAAGAATAATGTATAAATATAAAATAAAATAATTCTGCTTACATTTAATTTACTTTCATGATTTATGTCTAATTTATTACCAACAATTACAATGGGAATATGTGTATCAGCATCAGTGCTGACATGTCGAATTAAAGGTAACCAATACGATGATATCTAAGAAGAATAAATAAATAAACACTTCTTAAAAGCGTAGTATGAGTTAAATGTATTGACAGGTCGATTCCTGGTGAGATTGTGAGTGTGTAAAATAGTTGAGGTCATTTACTATTAATCTTAATAATTTTAAAAGCATACAGATAATAGTAATCAGTGGCTGGAGGTGTTGGATGACAAAGCTCAGAATTGGTCACAGTGGCATAGGCGCATTTAATCTATATCATTTTATACTAGATACTGAATATTCTAGTAATCCATCAAACACACCATTACATCATACATTTTCGTATCATATTTTCAACATTCAATATTTTTATTATTGTTGCTACTCAGTCAGTTCAGTTAGCCAAACGCAACGTAGAACCTGTTCAAATTGACAAACCTCATTAGCACAGCACGATGAAATTGTCAGGACAAAACCCACAGTAGTAGAGGTAGTAACAGTATTAATGATAATTAAAAAGATTAGACATTCAAGATACCAACGATCTCAGTCAACTACTTCATTACCTATCATCAATGCCAGCGTATTATTTCTGTCACTCTTGTTACTCACCTTGTCGTCGTTCCAATGACGTATGATGACTTGGGCCAAAGTAAATATGCGAGTCTTGACGTTGATTATTAACTAACATCGTTAAGGTGTTTCACATTGGAAAGAGACACTTGTTCAGTGAGCTCCTTGGTTTTCAGTGGTATGCGAAACTGATTTCAATATGTAACAAGTAAGGCCACCTTCAAAATGAACTAGTCTCTACAAAAATTACCTCTAACGCAAAATTGATCTAAAAATGCACAACTTTTAGCTCAACAGATCACTAATGAAATAGTAACTGTTAAGAGAAAAATAAGACCGAATAATGAGACTAACTGTTATGTCCCGACAAGAATAATGAATGTTAACTTTTGACGTCCATTTATGGACCAATACTAAACGTATATTTCTATTGTATAGTTAGTAAGTAACTAAAATAAGCATATTCATATTTCTCTTATTATAAGCTTTATTTTGACCCACAAACTATTATTATACGTTTTACCACTCTTGAGTTATACCCAGTATATTAATTACTACCTCCCTCATTCACAGCCACATCTGGCTAATTCTTGTACAAATGTTGTTTCACATTTTATTGGTACGATGTGGTCTGTTTGATTGGTATATAAACTCAGTATGTTTGAAATATAATGATTCATATCGCAAAGGCTCGGATTGGTGTTCTGGACTTAACTGGCTGAGCTAGGCGGGAAGCAGAGCCAATCAAGACTCTAGACTGCTCGCACGTGTTTTACGCGTCGTTGGTCCGATCGACAATTCACTGCCCTCTAATCGGTGGTCACAAGTTATAACACTAATTTCATTGATAGTTGGTTGAGTGATTTGTTTCTTACAATTGCTTTATTGCCTTACATAACCTTTAATCATATTTATAATTATTTATTTGTTGAATGATTATTAATTGGGTTTGTCAGAAAATTAATCTATTTAGCTAACCAATTTAACTATAGTATTACGTTTGATATCAGTTCATTGGAAAGTTTTAGAGTTGATCACTTCCACATTTAATATGGAATATTATCTTTTATAGAATTTACGAGGTAAGTACGCAGTAAATAGAGAGATGAAAGCGTAAGCCAACAATGTAATGGATATCTCATTCGTTGATATTATTTCTGTTATGTATTAAGATTTCATAATGTTATGAATGAATTTCCAATTGTCATATTAAACGATTAAAATGTTGGTCGGCAAATTATCTCTACTGACATAATGAAGTTGAGTGATGACCGCACGAGACCGAATCATTCAAAGAAGTCCTAAAATGAACCGATTTCGGAAGGCGAGACAGCTGACCAATAGAATAGGTTTTTGCGTAATAAAATAACATGCTTATCAGCAAAATTGTTCGTATAAAAATAACACGATTAGATTATATATACGAGTGGAGGGAATCAACTTTGTGGGTCACTCGTACTTCGATCAATTAAAACTTTGCATATTACATCGATTCCAATGCTCAAATAACTAGAGGAATAACATTCTCAAAATAAACTATTTTGTTCACTATAGTTTAAACAAGTTTTTAACCCAACAGTTTTATATAAATTATCACACGTGATCCCTTTTATCGTTAATAATCGATCAAGAATCATTATGCTTAAATTCAGTATGTTATGTGCGAGGATAATCATCTTGTTTTACTGATTTATGAAAGTGCTATATCTAGCATTTTGACGTTCATTTAGTGGGCCAGTACCACATATAAGAGTGTAATTTTTAATGGAGATTTCTTTTCAATCATCTTAGGCTATCTGTATATGTCTTCTTTGAATAGACTACTGTAACACATCCCAACTTGCCGGATAGAAAAAATAAAATGAAATTTACAGCTTGAAGTGAAATGTTCAGTCAAAATTATGCTCTAATATGCAGCACCCACTTATTGGATGAACGGAAAAATGCTAGATATTGCAGAAATATTGACCTTTGGAGGACAGATATGCTACAATATCACGGACACGTATCTGATCTCATTCATATCGCAATATTGTACACTATCTCCCTCTCCTTTTCTCTGAAACATAACTCGTATATGCATCATTCACATTTGCATCGGAAATAAAATAGGCTTGCGAAACCAGAAAATATTTACTTTTTGTTGTCATAACGAAGAAATCATTCATCCAATCAGGGACAGCTATCTCATTCAATTTTACAGACAGACAATCTATGGGTAGTAAACTTTGAGATAAAGGATATTTCAAAACAAATAATAATAAATTGCCAGCAACTGAATTATCGAAATCAGTTTCGATTTAGATCAATTAATTTGCCTTTCGCCCCCAAATGCCCTGGTACGGTCGAGAGTGGGGAGAGTCCACTCTCCCTATCGAAATGCTCTCATATGGCCACGCGTATATAGCCTCTGCCAGGGAATTCCTACTCATTGCCTTCTCGTGGCGGGGGTATTGTTTACGAAGTTGAGAGGACGAAAAGCGAATGTCCGGCGCTTTAACAGGGTTGATGGACACAGAGAGTCCACCTAGGAAAGTTGGAAAACCGTGACCCCAAACCAATGGTGCACATGGGCTCAAGTATCCTGAAGGAACAAATGGCATATGAACCAATCGTTGGTCACTGGTACCAGGGGACTGCATCTCCTTACAATGCTCCACTGTCTTGTGGATCAGACCTTCAGGTTGAAGGCTCCGGGTGTGGCCCCCTAAGAAAACCACCTGCTTCGGTTTGGGCACCCGGGCAGTATCACAGCCTTCATACATATCAAGTGAGGTTTGTGTGGTGCATATGTATTTGGTGCCTCCTTGTACCAATATCTATGTGTTAAAATAAATAAATAAACAATTTGCCTTTCAGATATCGGTTCCCGATACCAACGGTGTCTCTGAAAAACTAAGAAGTTTATAGTTCTCTGTGGGACTGATAATAGTAATAATAGTGGACAGACTATAATTTACG